AGGGGGAAGAAATAGGGGGGAAGGGTTTGTTCTGCACCTGTTGGGCTTCCTCAGGGGGATCCCCCTCAACTGGTTTGGCCAACGTCAAGAAAGGAGAGCTACGATAGGATGGGAAGCAGGTCACGTTTGCTTCCTTTGTTTAGTCTATTTTCATCAACATTATCTCATTCCACCATCTCTCTCTCTCTCTCGCCATAATGTATCTATCTATCCACCATCTATCTATCTATCTATCTATCTATCTATCTATCTATCTATCTATCTATCTATCTATCTATCTATCTATCTATCCATCATCTATCATTATCTATGTCCATATCTATCTATCTATCTATCTATCTATCTATCTATCTATCTATCTATCTATCAGGAAGGAAGGAAGGAAGGAAGGATCTTCCAGCTGACAGGATATCTCTAAATTTGCAGTTCTGGATCTGGCTGGCCCCCAATTCCTTGGGCTTTGCACCCCTCTTTCTACTCTCAAGGCTTTGGGGTTTGGCTCCTTGAGCTCTTTAGGATGGTCCAAGACTTCTTCTCCACCGATGGTCCAGCAAACCTCAGCCAGGACATCTTGCAACGTGCAAAGCTAACCTTTCACCCAGTCTCGCTCGGCTGTCAAGGCAAATGATGTCTCCAAAATTCCCGGCGCAGCTGTGTGCCCACCTGGGCGTTTGGGGCCAGGAATGCTAATCCCGCCTTAATTGTATGTGAGCCCCTTTGGCCAAGGGAGGAAGCAAGCGAGCCAGCGGTGGCCCGAGAAGGAAAGCCAGAGGGGTGAGCATCTGGGCAGACCCGGAGAAGGACCATCCAGGCCTGCAGATCTCTGGTGGCTTTCCAAATAGGATGCTGCGGTGTTAAAACATGGCTGCTTTTTCTTCTTTTTTCTTTTGCAAAAGGGAAACGGAGAGAAGCGGCTCTTCCAGGCGCTGCAGAAACGCAAACCGGACGCTGAGTATTTAGGACAGCAGAGGAGGCCTGGTCTTCCTGCCCTCTGCCCTCTGGGGAGGCCCCACAGCACAGATGTGTCTGCTGAGGAGGCCAGGCTTGGTGAAACCTACTGAGCAGGTCACAACCTTTACAGAAATGGTGGCTGTGGGTGTCAGACCTCATGGAGTTGACGGGAAGCGGGCTGGAGGGGGGAGGTGGTGGCCCGTGAAGGAAGGCCTCTTTGGGAAGCTGCTGGGGGCCACCTCTGGAGCTCTCGCTGACCTTCGGATGGGGACTCGCCAGCTGAACAAAACCAGAAGATTAAACCTGGTGGAAACCACGGAAGGTGTCCATCTCGGCGGAAGGGAATCCGGCTCAACAGCTGGTTGCAAAGAGCAGGAAGCAAAACCTTCCGAGATGGTGGTTGAAGGTCCGAGAAGAAGACGTGACACAGTCTGTGGACCTGACGGAGGTCTCCGAATTGCACAGATGGCTAGTCTAGGGTGAAGCTTGTTGTTCCTTTCACAAAACAAGTGTGGCAGCATTCTGGCCTCTTTCTGTCCCGGTGGCTTTCCCAGGCCACCGAAAAGCTTTGCCGAAAGAGATTTGAGATGAAGGGAGGAATGAAGAAAAGATGGAAGAAGGACAGGAAGAAAACAACTGGTGAACTTCCAGCGTTGGAGGATTTACAACTTCTGAACAGCTTGCCTGCAGAAGTTGTGAATGCTCCAACACTGGAAGTTTTTAAGAAGATGTTGGATAAGCACTTGTCTGAAGTGGTTGGACTAGAAGACCTCCAAGGCCCCTTCCAACTCTGTTAATCTGTTAAAGTACCTTCTATCTTGATGGCTTTCAAAAAAAAAAAAAAGCCCAATATTTCCCCCAATTTTCTCGTTTCAGGCGCTGAGGTAGAAGATCACCCAAATTTGGAGAGATCCCAAAGGAGATAAATTACCTTGGGTTAAAGTACTACTGAATTATTGATTTCTACAAAGAAATCTTACCTTTTGCAGTGATGCAAAACCAGGTCAACTGACTTGGCTGTTCTGTGCTTCATCAAAGTGAAGATTTGGGACAAAGAAATGTTTCTCCCCCTCCCCCCCACCCTCAGGTGGTCTTTTAAGGTGCTGGTTCTTACCATGAAAACATTATATGGCTTCAAGACAGGCAAAATGATTAGGAGACCTCTAGAATGTCTCAATTTTTTTTTAAAAAAAAAAACAAGTTTTATTGGTTTTTTTCTTTTCTCCTCCCCCACCTTCACCCAAATCTTTCTTTTTTCTTTTTTTGAACAGAGCGTTGGTCGTTTCTTATCTTATACAATTAGTCAAAGTCAAATACATTTTACTCAATTACAATTTTTGTCAGTATCGTCTTCCCCGCTTTTCCATTTTTTGGAATACACCTCAGTATTTCTATACTTGCATACGTAAACATCTTCTTCATTCAGTAAATATCCCTAAATTCTAACTTTACTATTTATACCTATTTATCCTCTTTTATTTTTTAACAATTCAGTCTTTTTCTTAATATATTTATACTTAATAAATATATTAAGGAAGAAAGGAGGAGGAGGAGAAGGGAAGGGGAAGTAGAGAAGAGAAGAAGAAAGTGGGGAAAGAAAGTTGGAAGGAGAAGAGGGAGAGGTTGGGTTTGAGGAGGAAGATTGCTGTACAATAAAAAAAAAGAAGATGAAGGGGAAGAAAGGCAGCTCTGAACAAACAAAGATAGACTGTCTCAAATTGTGGAGGCTCTCCTTGCCTCAAATTAAATAGGGTTCACTTGCAATGGTCTCAATTTCTGTAGGGTCTCCTGCTTGAACAAGGGGGTGGACAAGAAGGTCCCTTTTAGCTCTATTCTGATTGGTTGATTGATTGATTGAGACTGGAGGATAAAGCATATTTATTTATTATTTATTTATTTATTTATTAGTCCAATTTTTATGCCGCCCTTCTCCATAGACTCAGGGCGGCTTACAATGCATTGTAATAGCAATACATTAGCAATACATTACATGTAGCAATAGCCTGCATACTTTTTTGTATATACCTACTTAGTAGGGCTTTCGGTCCCCCCCAAGCGGTGTTGTTCTATACAAAGCTGGCTTATTGCCCCCACAATCCGGGTCCTCAATTTACCTATCTCAAAAGGATGGAAGGCTGAGTCAGCCTTGAGCCTGGTGAGATTTGAACTTGCACTAATTGCAGGCAGCTAAGTGCTAGCACTTAACAGCACTTAGTCCGCTGCACCACCAAGGCTCTAAGTGTTCCATATGAACTAACAGGCTCTAAGTGTTCTATATGAAGAAGAGTTGCAGGAATTGAGTATGTCTGATTTAATAAAAAGAAGGACTAGGGGTGACATGATAGCATCTTTCAATATTTGAGGGGCTGCCACAAATAAGAGGGGGGAGGGAAGTCAACCTATTCTCCAAGGCACCAGAAGGCAGGACAAGAAGCAATGGATGGAAACCAATCAAGGAGAAAAAATAGCCTAGACAGTGAGAAAAATTAATCAGTGGAACGACTTGCCACTAGAAGTTGTGGGTGCGCCATCTCAGCAGGTTTTCAGGAAGAAACTGGAGAACCGTAGGTCTGAAATGGAAGAGGGTTTCCTGCTTGAGCAGAGGGCTGGACTAGAAGACCTCCAAGGGACCTTCCTACCCTGTTATGCTTCTAGCCTACAATGGGTTAAAAAAAAACCCCAGGAAATTAGAGTGGGGGGTGTCATGATAACTATCTTCTAATCCTTGAGGGGCTGCCACAAAGAAGGAGGGAAGAACGGTTGCAGGATTTGGGTATGTCTAGTCTAGTGAAGAGAAGGACTAGCGCTGACATGATAGCAAGCCTTCCAATATTGGGGAGGGGGGGTCTGCCACAAAGAAGGGGGGTCAAATTATTCTCCAAAGCACCTGAAGGCAGGACAAGAAGTACCAGATGGAAACTTAACAACTTAGAAGTAAGAGGTAATTTCCTGCCTGTGAAAACTATTCACCAGTGGAACTGCTTGCCTCAAGAAGTTGTGGGTGCTCCATCACTGGAGGTTTTCAAGAAGAGACTGGGCAGCCATCTGTCTGGTATAGCACAAGGTCTCCTGTTCTAGCAGAGGGTTGGACTAGAAGACCTCTAAGGTCTCTTCCAACTCTTGTTATTCTGTATTCTATTCTGCTCCAGATAGACTGTGCTTGTCTGGTGGCATCAAGAGTAGAAAGACCCCAAGGGAGGGTCTCTCCACCCCACCGACCAAAGGGATGAACCTACCACCAAAGGAGTAGATGCCAAAGATGGATGGATTATTTCTGTTTTTAAATTATGAATTACATTACAAGGTTTTAAGCTCAACGACTTAAACACAGGGACCCCATAAATAACTCCATATGCAGATTTCTTTCTCCAGCTCAGAACTCTCGTTCTTTTCAGTAAAAATGAAATGATTGTGTTAGGATTAATAGTAAAGTAATGAAGATGATTATATTGGGAGCCATAGTTAAAATATTTTTTAAATGTTTACAATAACTGTAATGATTTATATTGTTAAAATATATCCATCTAAGCAAAAAGGAAGAGAAAAATGGAATGATATTTGGTTAGGATTTAAGATTTAAGTAACGGGTTTTTGGGATAATGGCATAGTTTTTTTTTTATTATTATTATTATATTTTTATTGTTAAAGAATAACAAAAAGGAAAAAAAATCAATACAAAAATCAATAGTAAGGAAAGAAAAAAATTTTTTCCCCCAACGTGCTATACAAACGGAAAGGAAGTTTTAGGAAATTGAAGTCTTCAATTCTTCCAGAATTGTTAAATTGATGGCATAGTTAAATTGATAGAATTTAGGTAAATAACTGAGTAAAATATTAAGTTGTGTTAATTGAAAATTAAGATTTGTTAGTGATTTGTACTAATTTGTGGCCGGATCAATGCTTCATTTTGGAAAAGATGTGTTTTATGTTTATGTTTTAAAAAAATAAAAAAAACTTTTTTCAAAAAAAAAAAAGAACTCTTGTTCTTTTCCATCACGACTTGGTCTCTGCTGAGCCATCATTCCCTCTGCTTTTCCCTTTCTCTGCAGCGTACCGGACCGTCTGTGGGGTGAATGGACCCCTGGTAGTCCTGGACAACGTGAAGGTAGGTGACGGCCGATTTCCCCCCTCCGCCCCCCGTACGATACAGGTAGTCCTTGACTTATGGCCACAATGGAGGCCAAAATGTATGTTATTAAGTGAGACGGTTGCTAAGTGAGTTTTGCCCATTTTACGACCTTTCTTGTCACGGTTGTTAAGTGAATCTAGCTTCCCCCTTGACATGGCTTGTCGGGAGGTTGCAAAGGGGGATCCCGTGACCCCCCCCAGGGACTCTGCAACCGTCATAAATATCAGTCAGTTGCCGAGCGTCTGAATTTTGATTACGTGATCATGGGGAATGTTGCAATGGTCGTTAAGTGTGAAAAATGGTCATAAGACATTTTTTTCACTGCCGCTGTAACTTTGAAAGGTCACTAAATGAATGATTGTAACCGTTGTAACAGTAGAACACTTCCTGTAGTGACACAGCAGAAAAAAAACAGCAAAAAAAGGTGGGAAAAAGTGACTTTTTCACACTTTCAACCGTTGCAACATTCCCGTGGTCACGTGATCAAAATGTGGACCCTTGGCAACTGGTCCATATTTATGACGGTCGCAGTGTCATAAATCTAAACAGCTGGATCAGGGATTCGGGGAGTTGTAGTCCACAGGTCTACCCCAACCCATTTTTATTTTATTTTATTTTATTTGCAAAGATTCCTGCAGACAACCGTGCCTTCCTTGCCGGATCCTGCCAGGGACTCTATCTACGCAGCACCAAGTGTGACATTTGTTGTGTTTCATCCCCGCTTGCGTAAAGGCAACAGCACGGCCTGTTTAGATTTTTCCCATTTTAAACTCGGGCCCCCTCTCTCACCAGAGCGCATTTTTGTCCTGGGCATGATCTAGCATGCTTCACTAACCATTGGTGGCTGACATGATCACGGGCTGAGATCTGCGCAGCTCCGATTGGCCGTTTTGGGCTCTGCAGCAGAGCCCCCCACCCACCCCAATGCGGCCACTAGACCCTGCCCTCCCTGGTCACTTTGGCCTAAGATGCAGAACAGCTGCACCTGGCTTCAGCTGCAGCATCTGCTCCCATTTTTTGTGGGGGGAGGGACTTTAGGAAAGCATTCAATGCCCCCCTCCCTCCCCCCTCTCTTTCTCTCCTCTTTCCTCCATCGCTCCCTCCCTCCCTTTCTCTTTCTCCCTCCCTCCCTTCATCCCTCTCTCCCCTCTCTGTCTTTCTCTTCCCCTCCTTCCCTCCTTCTCTTTTCTCTCTCTTCCTTCCAATCTGTCCCATAGAGGCAATCCTTGCAGGAAATCTGGTAGATTACAGTAAATACATGATATCAACTATCTATCTATCTATCTATCTATCTATCTATCTATCTATCTATCTATCTATCTATCTCTTCTATCTTTCTATCTTCTTTCTTTCTTTCTTTCTATCTTTCTATCTATGTATCTATCTATCTATCTATCTATCTATCTATCTATCTATCTATCTATCTATCTATCTATCTTTCTATCTTTCTTTCTTTCTTTCTTTCTATCTTTCTATCTATGTATCTATCTATCTATGTATCTATCTATCTTTCTATCTATCTATCTTTCTATCTTTCTATCTATCTATCATCTATCTATATCTATCATCTATATAGCTCTCTCAATCTCTCAAACTCTTTACCTTTCTAGCTCTCTCTCACTCTCATCCATCCATCCTATCTACCTACCTACCTACATCCATCTATCTATCTATCTATCTATCTATCTATCTTTCTATCTATCATCTATCTAGCTCTCTCAATCTCTCAATCTCTTTACTTTCTAGCTCTCTCTCACTCTCATGCATCCATCCATCTATCCATCCATCCATCCATTCTATCTACCTATCTACCTATCTACATCTATCTATCCTCCCCTCCCTCTCCCATCCATCCGTCGCTAGCAGTCCAAAACTCTCCAAAATCCAGGCGGTGGTCAGACAGCAGGCGACAGGGCGGCCTCTAGCGGCCAAAAAGGACCAACTAGAAGAGTGGATCTGTTTCTGGGTCATTTTACAAGGTTTCATTGGGAGCAGAGCACAGGCAAAGCAACAGAGGTCTGGGTGGAGCCCGAAAGGTGCGCTTGGGAATCTGGAGTCCCAAGAGCTTCCTAGAGAATCCAAAACTTAAGCTAAGGTGTGATTTGCCCACCCAATTCCTTTGCCATGAAAGCTCCAGTGCCAGAAACTGAGCTGTCAGCCTCACAAGGTGAATCTGCCAGCCGGTTAACGGGGGAGGCAGCAGAGAGGCTGAGCTTTTCAATTTTTCCTTCCAGTTCACTGAAAAGAAGAACTGATTTCTGAGTAAATTGTAGGGAGGTCAGTCTAACCGGCGCTAGTCCTGTAGTGGCCTTTTGGCTTTGGGATGGATGGATGGATGGATGGGGGAGAGAGAGAGATGATAGGTATGATAGACAGGGAGAGAAATATAGAGATGATAGGCCCGTGATGGCAAACCTATGGCACACGTGCCACAGGTGGAACGCGGAGCCATATCTGTGGGCACGCGAGCGTTGCCCTAGCTCAGCTCCAGCGCACATGTGCGTGCCGGCCAGCTAATTTTCAGGCCTTCCGGACCAACTGGAAATCAGGAAATGGGCTGTTTCCAGCCTCTGGAGGGCCTCTGGGGAGGTGGGAAAGACCGTTTTCACCCTCTCCAGGCTCCAAAAAAGCCTCTGGAACCTGGGGAGGGCAGAAAAACGGGCCTTCCAGGCCCACCAGAAGTTGGGAAACAGGCTGTTTCCGGCCTCCAGAGAGCCTTGCTGGGGGAGGCTGTTTTCGCCCTCCCCAGGCGCCAAGAAAGCCTCTGGAGCCTGGGGAGGGTGAAAAACAGGCCTTTTTGCCGTCGCGTGACAAAAGTGAGGGGAGCGTGGGAAGGGGGGGCACATGTGCATGTGTGGCGGGACAGAGGGGCATTGAACTTTGGGTGTGGACATGCACGTGCACGACCCGCCCCCCGCGCTCCCCCCACTTTTGGCACGCGACAGCAAAAAGGTTAGCCATCACTGTGATAGGCAGATAAATAGATAGATAAGATACTGTACATAGGGAGAGATAGACAGGTGCGTAGATGATAGATTGCTAGACAGATTGCTAGATAGAGGGGGAGACAGCGATGATAGATAGAGACATATAGACAGGAAGACAGACAGACAGGATAGATAAAGAGGGATGATACACACAGACAGACAGACAGACAGACAGATGGTATAGATAAATAGAGAGACAGACAGGCAGAGGCAGACAGGCAGGTGTGCAATCATGTACCCTTCCCCAAATTTTGCCAGGGGTGGAGGAGGGGAGGCCGGTGAGAATTCAGACGCGGACATCAGTTGCCTTTTGTGTCTCCTTCGCAGTTCGCCCAGTACGCGGAGATCGTCAACTTCACCCTGCCCAACGGCACCCATCGGAGCGGGCAGGTGCTGGAGGTGACCGGCTCCAAAGCCATCGTCCAGGTGAGTGGAAGAGACATCTGGAGGGCTCCAGGGAGCGGAAGGGGATCTTGATAGAAATCCAATCAGTAATAAACATCTCTGAATGCCGACTTTGGAACATTTTGCACAAGAGGAAGTCATGGTAACTACTAGCTTTGCTGGCTGGGGAATTCTGGGAGTTGAAGTCCTCCAGGCTTAAAGTTGCCAAGGTTGGAGAGCCCTGCGCCAAACAATTGTGGGAGAGCAATTCAGGAACCCAGAAGTGGGATCCTGTGTTTGAAGTGATCTAGGGATTGCAAATGGTCCCATCTTTGAAATTTTGCTCATAATTCTGATCACCATGCTGGTGAGTTAGGACAAAGGATTCTCTCTTGGCACGCTCTGGGAGCGTGGCATTCTGTGATGATGATGATGATAGTCACATTCTTTTGAAGGATATAAAATAAATCCCAATTTTGTTCTGTTGATATCCCCGAGCTGTTCCCAGCCTTGCAAACTCATCTGCTTAAAAAAGAAAAAAAAATCTGATTTGGGGTTTCCTGGGAATCAGTAAGGCATCTTCCCGAGTCTTTCCTGGACTTCCAAAAACTTCCTGGAGGTTCTGGAGAAGACAGGCAAGAAGCCGGGTTCCAATATCCCCCACCCCACCCCCAAAGAAATGGGGGTCAACTTATTCCCCAAAGCACCAGAAGGCAGGATGAGAAGCAACGGATGGAAACCAATCAAGGAGAGAAGCAACCTAGAAATAAAGAGAAAATTCCTGACAGTGGGAACAATTAATCAGTGGAACAATTGATTGTCTCCAGAAGTTGTGGGTGCTCCAACACTCCAATCCTTCCTTCCTTCCCTTCTTTCCTTCTCTTTATGATCCTTCCTTCCCTCCCACCCTCCCTCCCTCCTTCCTTATCTGGCCTGCTTCCCTTCCTTCTTTCCTGATACTTCCTTCCTTCCCTCCCTTGTTCCTTCCTTTCTTCCTTCCTATCTGACCTGCTTCCCTTCCTTCTTTCCTAATCCTTCCTTCTCTCCCTCCCTCGTTCCTTCCTTTCTGATCCTTCCTTCTTTCCTTCCTGATCCTTCTGTTTTCCTTCCTTCCTTCCTTCCTTCCTTCCTTCCTTCCTTCCTTCCTTCCTGTCAAGGAGAGATCCAACGTAGAATTAACATTACTTCCTAACAGTGAGAACAGTTAACCAGTGGAACAGCTTGCCACCAGGTACTCCAACACTGGAGGTTTTCAAGAAGAGACTGGACAGCCATTGGTCTGAAATGGTTCAGGATCTCCCTTTTGAGCAGAGGGTTGGACTAGAAGACCTCCAAGGCCCCTTCCAATTCTGTTATTCTGTCCCTGTTAAACCCACCCAATCCCAGAAGGCAGCTGCAGCAGGAGCTTCCTCAACCCCACCCGTCAAGGAGGATTTTCTGCTCTCTCCCCATTGGGTCATGGCATGGCCAGAGAGCTCTGGCCTCCTGCCCTTCATTGCCCAGCCGTGCAGGGGAAGTCCGGTGGCCACGTGGGCTGAGGAGGATGGGGAGAATAATAGCCCAGGGCACGGCGAGGGCATCGGGTTGACAAAGGATGCCTGTTCCAAGAAGACCGGTTAATCTCTCACGTCCCGGGTGCCAACCAGTCAGCTGGCGGCTGGATTGAGCCAGGAGGATTCAGTCCACGGCGGCTGCCTCCGTGGCTCTAAATATAAACCAGGATTGCAGGGACAAAGACACGCAGCTTAGACTCAAGTCGACACGTGGCTTCCTCTGGAAACCGGCCCAAAATTTCAGCCAAGGTATCAAAGGGAAAGGATTGTCAGCTCGATTACAAAAGAGGATTTTGCAAAGCGGCTCCCGGTCTCTTCTGGACTTCCCACTCCAAGTAGGGTCCCCGCAGGGTCCGATCGAAAGCCAAAGGGCCCCCAAAACACATCAACAATGGGGAGAACCGGGGTCAGACCATGGCAGCTGCCCTCTTGATGTTTCCGATCTTCTCTTGTGGACACCCTGCCTTCAAGTTGTCCCTGAACACCAGAATGAAAAGACAGCTTTGTGTCACTGAGTTTGGGGTCTTTAAGCCCCTCTGTTTCTGGGGGCCACCTAGAGGTCCTCTCTCTCTCTCTCTCTCGTTTCCATGATGTTTGCAGCCCCTCATCCTGGAGAGATCCAGAAGAGAGCAGGGAGCTACATGGAGAACACAAAGTCATCTGTTAAAAATTCATGCATTTTGCAATTCAAATCGTTTGTTTCCAAGGGACCCCAGGAGTCAGGCAGTATCTAAAATGATTGTGGCTGGTTGCCCAGTCAGCCAGATGTGGCATTTTTGTCCACCCATCGAGTCCCTTCCCAAGGATCTGAGATAGGCAGAGGTGGTAGCTTAATAAGATCAAAGGTATCCTCTGCAGGATGTCAGCTGTTCCCAAGCAAAGCTGCTTTTTTGCAATTGACTGGTTTTGTCAATGCCGTCAGTGCTCAGGTGATGCTCCAGATGTTTTGGGATTGCTCCCACGGCGCCTATGACTATGGGCGCTAACGTTCTATTTTTCCCCCCACAATCGTTCTATTTCTATTTGCAGGTTTTTGATTTTGTGGTTTTTCTTCATTGTTATTACTATGGGTGGCCATTCCCAGTCAGCCAGATGTCTAGACTGGATCTAGAAGAATACCAACAAAACTGGCAGGACAAGCCACTTGTTTCTAGACCCCCCTCCCTTCTAGCACTGATGATGTTAGCTAGTTGGGTCATGAAACATCTACAAGAAAATAACCAAGTTCAGAGAGACCCAAGGACGCCATACCAGTCTTCCTCCTTCTCCTCCTCCACCTCTCCTTCTCCTCCTCCTCTCCTCCTCCTCTCCGCTTCTCCTCCTCCTCTCCTTCTCCTCCTCCTCCTCTCCTTCTCCTCCTCCTTCTCCACCTCCTCCTCTCCTTCTCCTCCTTCTCCTCCTCCTCCTCTCCTTCTCCTCCTCCTCCTCTCCTCCTCCTCCTTCTCCACCTCCTCTCCTTCTCCTCCTCCTCTCCGTTTCTCCTCCTCCTTTCCTTCTCCTCCTCCTCCTCTCCTTCTCCTCCTCCTCTCCTCCTCCTCCTCCTTCTCCACCTCCTCTCCTTCTCCTCCTCCTCTCCTCCTCCTCTCCGCTTCTCCTCCTCCTCTCCTTCTCCTCCTCTCCTCCTCCTCCTCCTTCTCCACCTCCTCCTCTCCTTCTCCTCCTCCTTCTCCTTCTCCACCTCCTCCTCCTCCTCCTCCTCCTCCTCCTCCTCCTTCTCCTCCTCCTCCTCTCCTTCTCCTCCTCCTTCTCCACCTCCTCCTCTCCTTCCCCTCCTCTCCTCCTCCACCTCTCCTTCTCCTCATCCTCCTCTCCTCCTCCTCCTTTTCCACCTCCTCTCCTTCTCCTCCTCCTCTCCTCCTCCTCTCCACTTCTCCTCCTCCTCTCCTTCTCCACCTCCTCCTCTCCTTCTCCTCCTTCTCCTCCTCCTTCTCCACCTCCTCCTCTCCTCCTCCTTCTCCACCTCCTCCTCCCCCCCTCCTCCTCCTCCTCCTCCTCGTCCTTTCTACAACTTCCCCCCTTCTAACACTGATGATGTTAGTCAGCTGGGTCATGAAACATCTGCAAGGAAACAACCAAGTTCAGAGAGACCCAAGGACCCCACAGCCCTCCTCCTCCTCCTCCTCGCCACACGCCCCACTCCCTTTCTAGCACTGATAATGTCACCCAGCTGGGTAATGAATCGGCAGGGAGGGAGAGGCAGATGTGATTTGATAGTGGTCAAGATAGCGTCATCCCAGGATCTGAGCTGTTATTACTCTAATCCTTTAGCTTGTGCATCTGGTGTGGAAAATGTGCTCTTGTCGAAGCTGCCCAGTCTTAGCAACTACCCTCTTTTGCTGGCACGCGTGACTCACTTTCCTCCTTGCCCGAAGCCAGAAATTATACAAACATAATGAGACTTTGCAAGCAGGAAAAAATGGTTTCAAGCCGCAGCTTATTTTCATTTGGGGCTGTCTGAATGTCGTCCGGCCCTTAGACCTGGGAAACAGGGGTGAGCTGGACCAGAAGCCAGGGAGACCAAATCTGGGTTTCATCATCCCAGAAGACCTCTGGAAGACGCTAAAAATGATACAGAAAAATCAAAGTCTTCGCTGCTGTTGGGGGATGACACGGATTTTTGCCACATTTCAAAGATCATCTTTTCCAAATTTCTGGGTGAAAAGAGAAGAGTTGGAAGGCACCTTGGAGGCCTTCTAGTCCAACCCCCTGCTCAAGCTGGAGACCCTAAACCAGAGGTCTTCAAACTTGGCAGCTTTAAGACTTGTGGACTTCAACTCCCAGACTGACCAGTCTCTTCTTAAACCAAACTCCAGTGTTGGACACCACTGGTTCCACTGGTTAATTGTTCTAACTGTCAGGAAGTTCTGTGGGGGGAATGGGGATGACCTGATAGTGGTATTCCAGTATTTGAGGGGCTGCCCCAAAGAAGAGGGGCTCAACTTATTTTCCAAACCTGGCAGAGGTGTGAAGATTGTCTTGCAAGGCAGGAGAAGAAACAATGGATGGAAAAACCAATCCAGGAGAGAAGCGACCTGGAATTAAAGAGAAACTTCCTAACAGTTAGAACAATTAATCTGTGGAACAGCTTGCCACCAGAAGATGTGGGTGGCTCCATCACTGGAGGCTTTGAAGAGGAGACTGGACAGCCACTTGTCTGAAATGGTAGAGGGTCTCCTGCTCGAGCGGGAGGCTGGACTAGACGACCTCTAAGGACCCTTTCCAGCTGATTCTCTCCTTGATTAGTTTCCATCTGTTGCTTCTTGCTGTGCCTTCTGGCGCTTTGGAGAAGAGAAGAAAACCAAGCCAGCCTATCTACTTGGGGAGGGGAGTAGAAGGGGCCCTTCCTGCTTGGGAATTAGCCTTTGGCCAATCGCTGACCTTTTCAAAGGTCCACCTGCAAATTGCCCTCTTTGCCCCACTCCGCTTAAGCTGCTCCCGGGCAGCTGCAGGGTTGACCTGTTGGCGCCCCCAGAGGGTCATCTGCCAACCTTCGCTCCTCCAGGGGGGAGACCTTTGGGGTGCCAATCCTCCCACCCCCACACCTCTAGATGGAAGGGGCTTAGAGGCCACCCGAGCTGTCCTGGACACGGGGCAGGAGAGGAGATCCATCCACTCCCCCCTGGCAGAGGTGTGAAGATTGTCTTGCAAGGGGTCAGGCCAGGCAATCCTACGTGTGTGTGTGAGAGAGAGAGGGAGAGGGTCCTGAATGAGAGGCATGGGCAGGGAGGGGGGGGGGGAGGGAGGGGGGGAGGGGGGGGGGGTCCTGGACAGGAAGCCTTTCTGCTGCTAATCCTCCTTAATGGCCAGTAATTGGCTCCTGGGCCTGTGACCTTCCCTCTGCAGGTGTTCGAAGGGACCTCTGGCATCGATGCCCGCAAGACGTCTTGCGAGTTCACTGGGGACATTCTCCGCACGCCCGTGTCCGAGGACATGCTGGGTAGGTGAGACCTCTTTGGGTAGGCGATGGAGGGGCAGCTGTCAATCACGATGATCGGTTGCTCCAGGTACAGCAGGGGTGTCAAACTCATTTTCATGGAGGGCCACATCTGGGCTCTGGCTGACCTCAGGGGGCCGGGTGGGCGTGGCTGATTGGGTGGGAGTGGCCAACTGGGTGGGCGTGGACAGCTTGATGCCACTTCCCAAACTGCTGACATGTTTCCTCTTCACACTGGGGAGACCGGGGCCAAAGCCACGCTGGCCGGCCCCTTACATTTTCCAGGATGGCCCCACAGGCCGGATCCGACCACGTCACGGGCCGATCCAGCCCACGGGCCTTGTGTTTGACACCCCCGAGTTACAGGAAGGTGCCCACCCAGGGACCAAGGGGAGAAGAAAGCCACCAGAAATGCTTCATAGGATAACAAGAGTTGCAAGGGACCTGGGAGGTCTTCTAGTCCAACCCCCTGCTTTTGAGGGGAGAGAAGATTCCAGAATGGTCTTCCATTGCTGAGTCTGGACACAAGAGCGATCAGGATCTTGGGGGAAAACCCCCCATGGAAATGAATTGGCTCTTGAAGAGCTGCCTTGGTCCACAGAAGCTCGTTTTCAGGTGGATTGTTGGGGGAAGGAGACGGGAGCTACCTGGTGTTGACATCTGGGGGATCTCCAAGTCAAGGGCTGCAGGAACCTGAGGATGGGGATGGGAATCCGAGGCCCTCCAGCTCCTTTTGACAGTGATGTGACCCAACATCTCCCAAGCCTTGCTCTTTTCCAGAAGAGATCTCCTGATGCGCAGTGACAGAAGGCACCATTGGAGAACAGGTTGGTCTCGCCTTCCAGAGGAGCGACGGCCTCTCTTCCCCTTCGGGAGAGTTGTGAAGTCAGCTGTCTGGACGGTGTTCCTGATGGCTCTGCTCTTCTGGGCCAGGTCATTCACGGGTCTGCCCAGGACGGCCTCCATGGGGGTCTTCTGGGGTGACGTTGCTGGGATTCAGCTGAGCTCTGGTTGTCCTGTTGGAGGCACAATAACACAATAACAGAATTGGAAGGGACCTTGGAGGTCTTCTAGCCCAACCCTCTGCTCAAGCAGGAGGCCCTCTACCATTCCAAACAAGTGGCTGTTTCATATCTTCTTAAAAACCTCCAGTGATGGAGCACCTACAACTTCTGGAGACAAGTGGTTCCACTAGATAACTGTTCTCACTGTCAGGAAATTTCTCCTTTTTTCCTTGATTACTTTCCACCCATTGCTTCTTGTTCTTGTTCAGGTGCTTTGGAGAATAGCTTGACTCCCTCTTCTTTGTAGCAGCCCCTGAGATATTGGAAGACTGCTATCATGTCTCCCCTGGTCCTTCTCTTCATTAAACTGGCCATGCCCAGTTCCTGCAACTGTTCTTCATATGTTTTAGCCTCCAGTCCCCTAATCCTCTTGGTTGCTCTTCTCTGCACTCTTTCTAGAGTCTCCGCATCTTTTTTACATCCAGTTTTTTACAAAACTGGATGCAGGATTCCAAGGGTGGCCTTACCAGGGCATTAACCCTTCATGTGATCTTGATTCTATCCCTCTGTTAATGCAGTCTAAGGTCTTGAAGTGCCAAATGGCTTCTTGCAGGAGATTCCTTCAGTTGGGTTTAGTTGGAAAGACCCTGGCCACCTGTTCAGGTTCTCCAACCACGTGAGGCCCTCCGCTGTTCACAGTTGACCCTTCCTCTCTTCTGCCCCCCCACCTCCTTCACCCAGGTCTCTGGGGCGCTCCTCCCCACGGTTGCTTCTTCATTGCAGGCCGAGTCTTCAACGGTTCAGCTAAACCCATCGACAAAGGCCCCATGGTGATGGCCGAGGACTTCCTGGACATTAATGGTGAGGCCTCTTGGTTGGCTTGGGGAGGGGAGGGGGGCCCAGGGCAGGCTGGAGCTGTGGATCGTGGCCGGCAGGGCCTCCTGGGGAAGAGACCCAAGGGCCGAGCTTTGTCCAGGTTTCGGACATTAAACTGAGCGGAGAGGAAACCACGGCTGGGAAGCCTCCCCTTGCCCCACCAGGGCAGCTAAAGGGGAGCTGTTCTGTTTGGCCACAAGGGAGAAGGCGGAACGAGGGAGCTCCAGCTTTAAAAGAACAACTCCTGGGTCTTGAGTTTAAGAAACTGAAGGTCACAACTTTTGTGCTTTGATTTGGCAAAAGCTTTTAAGAAGAAAATGAACCCAAAGGTTAGAGCTTGTCCGGATAGTTTTTTGAACATCAGTACTGTAGGTGGGAGGGGTAGATATGGCGGGAGCAGGGGGCCATATCGTGTTAGGGGAGTGCGCACTCGCTGTCTACGAGCGGTGGCGTGCTCCGGCCCCCAAGGCTCTACTCGCTCCTCAGGTTGCATAGACCCTCAGGACCCAGGCCTTCGGCTGATGCTGTGCAATGCCAGGTCCGTAGTAAATAAAGCCCCCCTCATCTGTGATCTTGTTCAGGAGGGGGGTGTGGACCTGGCAGGTATTACGGAGACCTGGTTGGGCCAGGAGGGGGGGGTTCCCCTCGTTGAAATGTGCCCGCCAGGTTTCCAAGCATTCCATCAGCCGAGGTCACAGGGGAGGGGCGGGGGGGTAGCGGTTATCATTAAAGAAGGTCTGAGACCGAGGGAGGCCACTGTTCCTCAGACGGCCGGCTGTGAACCCCTTTTTGTGAAATGGGGTCATGGGGTTCAGATGGGTTTGCTGATCACGTACCTGGCTCCCTGCCACGTGGCAACAGCCCTGCCCGAGCTACTCAACGTCATCGCCGCGGTGGCGGTTGATACCCCTAAGCTTATGGTTATGGGGGATTTCAACCTGCCGTCCGTGGGTGAGACGTCAGAGATGGCTCGGGAGTTCATGGCTTCCATGACAGCTATGGACCTGACCCAGTTAATTCATGGCCCTACCCACACAGGGGGAAACACGCTGGATCTGGTTTTTGTCTCTGGACAGTGGTTGAGGGATCTTGATATAGGGGATATAGTTACTGAACCCTTGTCATGGTCAGATCACTCTCTCCTTCGTCTCGACTTTCAAACCGCTGCACCCCGCCGCAGGGAGGCGGAGCCGGTCAGATGGTTCCGCCCCAGGCGCCTGATGGAACCTGACAGATTCCAGACGGAGCTTGGGCCATTTCCTGAGGTTCTGGCACACGCCTCGACTGGAGACCTGGTGGCCGCCTGGGATAGGGCGGCTGCTGGTGCTCTGGATCGGGTCGTGCCTTTGCGGCCTCTGACCCGGCGCCGATCTCAATTGGCTCCTTGGTTTACCGAGGAGCTGAGGGAGTTGAAGCGCCGGAAAAGACGCCTAGAGAGTAGTTGGAGGGCCAGTCTTCTTGAATCTGACCGGACACTAGTAAGATCCCACATTAGGAATTACTTAGTGGCGATAAAAGCAGCGAAATGTAGTTATTTTGCTGCTCTTATTGCGTCATCAGATAATCGCCTGGCCGCCCTCTTTAGGGTGACCCGCTCCCTGCTCCACCAGGAAGCGCGGGAGGACCCCTTGGAGGGTAGAGCCGAGGATTTTGTTCAGTATCTGTATGACAAAATCACTCAGATTCGGGAAGATTTGGACTCCGACTGGGTAGTCTCAGGGGGAGAGACAGGGGCAGGTCTTGAGAATGTTATCTGGGATGAGTTTGATCCTGTGACCCCTGAGGACGTGGACAGGATTCTGGGTAGACTGAACGCGACCACTTGTTTATTGGACCCGTGTCCTTCCTGGTTAGTACTGGCTTCCCGGGAAGTGACACGAGGCTGGCTCCAGGGGATTATAAACGCTTCCTTGAGTGAGGGTGTCTTCCCTGCTGCCTTGAAAGAGGTGGTGGTGAGGCCTCTCCTCAAGAAGCCTTCCCTGGACCCGGCAATGTTGGTAAATTATCGTCCGGTCTCCAATCTTCGCTTTGTTGCGAAGGTTGTTGAGAGTGTGGTCGCGCAACAGCTCCCCCAGCACCTGGATGAAACGACGTATCTGGATCCGTTCCAGTCGGGCTTCAGGCCCGGGTACAGCACGGAAACGGCATTGGTCGCGTTGGTTGATGATCTCTGGAGGGCTCGGGACAGGGGGTGCTCCTCTGTCCTGGTCCTGTTAGATCTCTCAGCTGCTTTTGATACCATCGACCATGGTATCATGCTGCACCGGTTGGAAGAGTTGGGGGTGGGAGGCACTGTGTTGCGGTGGTTCTCCTCCTTTCTCTCTGACCGGTCGCAGTCTGTGTTGACAGGGGGACAGAGGTCGACCCCGAGGCCCCTCATATGTGGGGTGCCGCAAGGGTCGGTCCTCTCGCCTCTCCTGTTCAACATTTATGTGAAGCCGCTGGGTGAGATCATCCGTGGTTTCGGGGTGGAGTACCATCAGTACGCTGACGACACCCAGCTGTACATCTCCACCCCGGATCACCCCAACGATGCCCTTGAAGTGATGTCCCGGTGCCTGGAGGCCGTACGGATCTGGATGGGGAGGAACAGGCTCAGGCTCAACCCATCCAAGACCGAGTGGCTGTGGTTTCCGACGTCCCGATATAGTCAGTTGACGCCATCACTGATTGGGGGCGAATCATTGGCCCCCCGGAGAGGGCTCGCAACTTGGGCGTCCTCCTGGACTCACGGCTGTCTTTAGAAGAGCCTTGACGGCCGTGACCGGGAGGATTTTTCATCAGGTTCGCCTGATTCGCCAGTTGCGTCCCTTTCTGGATCGGGACTCTTTACGCACGGTCACTCATGCCCTTGTCACCTCCCGCCTGGACTATTGCAACACTCTCTACATGGGGCTCCCCTTGAGGAGCACCCGGAGGCTCCAACTGGCGCAGAGTGCGGCCGCGCGGGTGGTAATGGGAGCGACATGGCGTTCCCATGTAACACCTCTCCTGCGCGAGCTGCACTGGCTCCCGGTGGTCTTCCGGGTGCGCTTCAAGGTTTTGGTTACCACCTTTAAAGCGCTCCATGGCTTAGGACCTGGGTACTTGCGGGACCGCCTACTACCACCAATAGCCTCCCACCGGCCGGTACGCTCTCATAGAGAGGGGCTCCTCCGGGTGCCGTCAGCCAAACAATGTCGACTGGCGGCCCCCAGGGGGAGAGCCTTCTCTGTGGGGGCACCTACTATCTGGAACGAGCTCCCCCCAGAGATACGGAGGATCCCGGATCTGCGCACCTTCCGCCGCGCCTTAAAGACCTTACTATTTCACCAGGCCGGCCAGGCCTAATTTTCCCCCTCTTTTATAAAAGATTGTTAAAATTTTAAATATTTTTTAGTATTTATATATTCAATTTTAAATTGGTTTTAAAAGTTTGGGGTTTTAAATTTGTCGGGGCCAAAATTATTTAATTTGATTTTATTCTATTTTTTAAATTTTGTATTGTATGTGTTTTTATTGTTTGGCTGTGCACCGCCCTGAGTCCTTCGGGAGTAGGGCGGTATAGAAATCTAATAAATAATAATAATAATAATAAAAAGGGGGGCAGGGAGAGAAGTGGGCCAAGCAACCTCCCTTTGAAATACTAAGTAACTAAGTACTGATTTACACTGGGATAACTCCTTCCTTCCTTCTTTCCTTCCTCTCATTCCCATCTCCTTCTTTCCTTCCTTCCTTTCCCTTCCTCCCTCCCCCTCCCTCTTTCTCTCCTTCCTTCCCTCCCCCCACTCTCCCTCCCTCTTTTTCTCCTTCCTTCCTTTTCCATCTCCTTCCTTCCCTACCTATCTCCCTCCTTCCTTTCCTTCCCTCCCTTCCTCTTTTTCTCCTTCCTTCTTCCCTTCCCTTCCCTTCCTCCCTCTCTCCTCCCTTCCTTCCTTCCCTCCTCCCGTTCTCCCTCCCTCTTTTTCTCCTTCCTTCCTTTTTCATCTCCTTCCTTCCCTACCTATCTCCCTCCTTCCTTTCCCTCCCTCCCTTCCTCTTTTTCTCCTTCCTCCCTTCCTTTCATTCCCATCTTCTTTCCTTCCTTTCCCTCCCTCCCTTCCTCTTTTTCTCCTCCCTTCTCTTCCCTTCCCTTCCTCCCTCTCTCCATCCTTCCTTCCTTCCCTCCTCCCGCTCTCCCTCCCTCTTTTTCTTCTTCCTTCCTTTCTCATCTCCTTCCTTCCCTCCCTATCTCCCTCCTTCCTTCCTCTCATTTCCATGTCCTTCCTTTCCCTTCTTCCCTTCCTCTTCCTTCCTTCCTTCCTTCCTCCCTCCCTCCCTCCCTTCCTTCCTCTCATTCCCATCTCCTTCCCTCCCTTCTCAGGGCAGCCCATCAACCCTCAAGGACGCATTTACCCCGAGGAGATGATCCAGACGGGCCTCTCCCCCATCGATGTCATGAACAGCATTGCCCGAGGACAGAAAATCCCCATTTTCTCCGCTGCTGGTCTCCCCCACAACGAGGTACGGTCCTCACAAGCCCCCCTCCCTTTGGCTCTACCAGTCCACAGCAGGATGCCTCTTGAGGGTCTTTTGAGACGGACTTCTTCATTCTTTGGGAATGCCAAAGACACGTGCTGGGGCTGGAGACCCTGGAAAAGCAGAGGTGCAGGAAATATTCAGAAGAAATAGCAACAGCAGGAGCACCTAGACTTATATACTGCCTCACAGTGCTTTCCAGCCCTCTCTCAGCAGTTTACAGAGTCAGCCTCTTCTCCCCCGCAACAATCTGGGTCCTCCTTTTACCCACCTCGGAAGGATGGAAGGCTGAGTCAACCTTGAGCCTGGTCAACCGCCTCCTCCCCTCCCCCTCCCCCTCCCCCCCACCTCCACAAACCCCACTCCCCCAATGACATTACCTAGCTTGGTAATGAAACGTCTACAAGACAACATCCCAGCTCAGAGAGCACCAAGGACGCTACACAGAGCCGTAGAGAACTAAGCCCAGGTTTGAGGGGTTCCCTGCCGTTCCCATCTTCCACGGCCTCTCACCCTCCTCCTTCCCTCTTCATCCCAGATCGCAGCTCAGATCTGCAGGCAGGCTGGCCTGGTGAAGAAATCGAAAGACGTGGTGGATTACCACGAGGATAACTTCGCCATTGTCTTCGCTGCCATGGGGGTAAGTCATGTCTTCCGCAATGTCGGGATGGAGACGTCTCATTCCCCAATCTTTTCCCCAAGGACTCTGGGAATCATCCCTGGAGGCTTTCAAGAAGGGACTGGACTGCCATCTGTCAGAGATGGTGTAGGGTCTCCTGCATGGGCAGGGGGGTGGACTAGATGACCTACAAGGTCCCTTCCAACAATCTGATCTTCTTTCTGGATGCCAGACCCTCCCTCTTGGCCAGAAAGAGCGACACCACCCACCCCTTCCCACTGAAGGGCCTGCGGCTGAGCTGTTCCTTCGAAGTTTTCCCCCAAGTCCCACTTCTAACATTTCCAGGTCGTCCTCGACATACGACCCACAATTCAAACCCAAATTTCCCTTGCTAAGCGAGACAGTTGTTGAGTGGGTTTTGTCCCCTTTTACAACTTTAATTGCCACCGTTGTTAAATGAATCACCACCATTGTTAAGTTAGTAACAGGCTTGTAAAGGGAACCTGGCTTCCCCCTTGATTTTGCTCCATCAGAAGGTCGCAAAAGGGGATCACATGATCCTGGCAGACTGCGACCGTCATAAATGCGAATCAGTTGCCAAGTGTCTGAATTTGGATGACGTGACCCCAGGGATGCTGTAACGGTCGTAAGCATGAGAACGGTCCCAAGTCACTTTTTTTCAGTGCTGTTGTAACTTTGAATGGCCACTAAATGAACTGTTGTAAGTCGGGGACTGCCTGTGCGGCCTGTTCCCAGGGAGAACAACCAGTGAGGCCGTCTCCCTTGTCTGCTCTTCTCCCTGCTTCTTCCTCCTCATTCTCCTTCTTCTTCTTCAGCTGCTACTTCAGTGTCTGGGGATGACTGTAATTTAGGACAGGAGTCTCCAACCTTGGCAACTTTAAAACTTGTGGACTTCAACTCCCAGAATCCCCCAGCCCCCTCCTCCTCCCTCCCACTCCCTTCTAGCACTGATGATGTTCCCTAGTTGGGTCATGAAACGTCTGCAACCAAACAACAATGCTCAGAGAACACCAAGGGCCCCTCAGTTGTTGTTGTCCTCCTCTTCCTCCTCCTCCTGTCCACCCGGCTGGCTCTGGGGAATTCTGGGAGTTGAAGTCCCCACGTCTTAAAGTTGCCAAGTTTGGAGAGCCGTGGTCTTTGACAACAAAGCCATTTATCCTCTTGAGAAGATGTTGCCGTTTTGAAAACGCCACCGTTTCCTCAGACGTCTCTTCCACTCAGCTGTGAGCACCTGATTCGAAGCTAAAAATACCCCTTGCAGAGAAACTCCTGTTCCCTGGGAATTTCACTCCTCTTGACTGAAGGGTCACCTCGCGTGGAGACTTCGGGTAGCTGCAGAGCATCAACTGGCCGCCGTTGGAGAAAGTCCGTCCCCAGCAATGTTACTTTGGCCCAACGATGGTTTAATGGCGGCTCTGGACATTACAATCCCAGTTGCAGAAATGGACTCAGCCTTGGAAGCTGTTGCGGCCCCAACCTTCCTCTCCACCGTGGCTCATCACCCAGGGACCTCCGCCTCATTTGAGGATAGACAACAACCATCCCTGAACAGATGCTGGAGGCTGCTGTTCCCAACTCAAGAGTAAACAGATGACTAATCAAGGAACTACTAAGACTGGAACTGCCACTGATGTTGCAAGCGCTTGTATATAAAGAGAAAGCAAAAAAACCCTCCCTCCCTTCTAGCACTGATGATGTTACCTAGTTGGGTCATGAAATGTCTCCAAGAAAACAACCCAGCTGAGAGAACACCAAGGACTCCACAATCTTTTTCCTCCTCTCTCTTCCTCCTCTTCCTCCTCTTCCTCCTTCTGAAGAACTAAAGAACTGAAAAAGCTTCTTGGATGAGCAGCAAAAGCTTTTTAAGGAAAACATCAAGGAAGTCCAGTTGCCTTTTGAAAAAAGCATCTTTGGGACGAAGAAGAGAAGAGGAGAGAATATAGAAGAGAAGAGAATACGGAATAGAATAGAAAATGAATAGAATAGAATGTAGAATAGAGTAGAGTAGAGTAGAGTATAGAGTAGAAGGGAAGAGAGGAGAGGAGAGGAGAGGAGAAGAGAAAAGAGAAGAGAAGGGAAGGGGAGGAGAGGAGAGGAGAGGAGAGGAGAAGAGAAGAGAAGAGAAGAGAAGAGAAGAGAAGAGAAGAGAAGAGAAGAGAAGAGAAGAGAAGAGAAATAGCAGAGAGAAAGAACAGGAAGAATTCTTCACAAGATTTTGACTTCCAAAATAAAGGAGATAATTTTCATCTCACTTGGTTTTGTGAGCAATAATTCCCACAACCCTCGTTTTTAATTCCATAGCAAGATCTTTTTCTGATTGTGCCCCCAAGTGGACAAATATATATAGGACCGAAGCCTGAAAAGGGCTGATTTTCCTTCTTACTGGGGTCTTATGTATTCACCCCCACCCCACACACACACAAACACTCAGGGCCTGAAAATGCCTTTATTTTTAAACAGGAAAAAAAATATCTGCTTTTCCTGAATTTTCAAGGCATTTTCCAATGCATTTTGTTAAAGGAACTCTCAAAAATCTCCCCATTTTGTGGCTAATTGTAAATAACCGCATTGCAAAAAAAAAATAAAATACATATCTTGATTACAGATGTTTAGAGTTTGGGGAACTAGTTAGGTTCCCCTTATTTTGGTCTTCGACAAAGTTATCTGTGCAAGAATTTAGAGCCAGTATTGGGGAAGTTTGCCAAAGGAAGGAAGCGTGAGAGAGAAAGTGATCATTCCTGTTTTCATTTTCTTTAGTGCAAAAATCAGACAAATAGAGTAGAAACTTAGATGGGCTTTCAAGATTGCTATTCCAGATTAAGAAACGAGTGTGCTGAGATTCTAGGAATGTATTTTATTGTTGTTGGGCAGTGTTTTTCAAATGTGGCAACTCTTAAGATGTGTGGACTTCAACTCCCAGAATTCCCCAGCTTGCTGGCTGGGGAATTCTGGGAGTTGAAGTCCACACATCTTAAGAGTTACCAAGGTTGAGAAACACTGCAAAAAAGTCTTTTTGGAGAATCAATCTACAATCTTACATCTTTGGCTAAATCTACTTGAAAATGAGAAGCCGGATTTTGATCCAGCGAGAGAAATACTCAACCCATAGATTTAAAAACAACAACAACAATAACTCAATTATTTTCCTTTTCCTTTCCTTTCTGTATTTTGGTCCGAGACCCTAAACTGAATCCATGAAAGCTTGAAACGAAAGAGTAGGGAATAGAGGGAGATGGTCTTCTTCTGGCAAACGGCTCCATAAGGGTCTCCTTCATTGGCAGGTCAACATGGAAACAGCTCGGTACTTCAAATCGGACTTTGAGGAGAACGGGTCCATGGAGAACGTCTGCCTCTTCCTCAACTTGGCCAACGACCCCACGTGAGTCTGTAGCCTGGGTCCTGGGGGACAGGATGATGGGAACCACAGCACCCGCAGACCCCAGGGGCTTGGAGGCTAGGATTAGATTAACAGAGTTGGAAGGGACCTTGGAGGTCATCTAGTCCAGCCCCCTGCCCAAGCAGGAGACCCTACGCCATTTCTGACCAATGGCAATCCAATCTCTTCTTGAAAGCCTCCAGGGATGAAGCTCCCACAACTTCCAAAGGCAACTTCTGGTGGATTGCTCCAGGGGTGAAATCTACTTACATTACCTACCAGTTCGGAAGTGCACGTGCCATCGTCGTGTCTGATTTTTGACCCTCTGCACATGCTCAGAATTCTTTGCACATGCACAGAGGGTTAAAAACCAGGAAGTAATGATGTCCGCCGCTACCGATTCACCGAACCATGTGCCAGCTCGATTTCACCACTGGATTGCTCTCACTGTCAGAAACATACAAAGAACGGTTGCAGGAACTGGGTAGGTCTGGGTAGGTTTAATGAAGAGAAGGACTAGGGGTGACAGGATAGCAGTCTACCAATATCTCAGGGGCTGCCACAAAGAAGAGGGAGTCAAGCTATTCTCCAAAGCATCTGAGGGCAGGACAAGAAGCAACAGGTGGAAACTAAGCAAGGAGAGAAGCAACCTAGAACTAAGGAGAAATTTCCTGGCAGTGAGAAGAATTAATCAGTGGAACGACTTGCCACCAGATGTTGTGGAAGCTGCAACACGGGAGACTTTTAAGAAGTGATTGGAGAGCCCTTTGTCTGAAATGGTTTAGGCTTTCCTCCTTGAGCTGGGGGGGGGGTGGACTAGAAGACCTCCATGGTCCCTTCCAACTCTGCTATTCTCCTGCAGAATTGAGAGGATCATCACGCCCCGTCTGGCTCTGACCACCGCCGAGTTCCTGGCCTATCAGTGTGAGAAGCACGTTCTGGTGATTCTGACCGACATGAGCTCATACGCCGAGGCCCTGCGGGAGGTCAGTGGGTCAGGGTTGGGCCAGAGTCTCCTGGCTATGAAGACAGAGGTGGGGTTGAGGGTCAAACCTAGTTTCCTTTCTGCCCTGTGAGGTCTTCTCTCTCGGTCTTCCTTCCATAGGTCTCCGCGGCCAGAGAAGAGGTGCCTGGACGACGGGGGTTTCCTGGCTACATGTACACTGACCTGGCCACCATCTACGAGCGGGCAGGACGGGTGGAGGGCAGGAACGGCTCCATCACACAGATACCCATCCTGACAATGCCCAACGATGGTGAGGAAGGGCAGCAAGAGGTCAAACTCTCAGCCCAGATAGCAGATCCCAGGGTAGAAATCCATGCTGGGCCTAGAGAAAGGGGAGGGGGGCCTCTGGGACCACGGATGATGGAAAATACAACTGGGGTGGTGATGGTACAGGTAGTCCTTGACTTACGACCACAATTGAGTCCCAGATTTCCGTTTCTAAACAAGACAAGTGAGTTTTGTCCCATTTTACGAGCTTCTGCACCCGAGCCTCTACTCTTACTGTCTGCCTTGAGGTTCTTTTGTTGAGAAAGTAAGACAGGTTGTCAAAATTAAGAAGGAAGAAAACAAAGCAAAAGTAAACTAATGGAACAATAAAATAAACAAGGAAAAAGAACACAAAGAAAATACATTGATAGGACTAGTAAAATATATCTAAATCTATACGTATAATCTCTCTCTCTCTCTCTCTCTCTCTCTCTCTCTCTCTCTCTCTCTCTCTCTCTCTCTCTCATTCTCCTATCTATCTATCTATCTATCTATCTATCTATCTATCTATCTATCTATCTATCTATCTATCATCTATTTATCATCTATCTATCTATCTGCAGAGAAGAGCAACCAAGATAATTAGGGGACTGGAGACTAAAACACATGAAGAACGGTTGCAGGAACTGGGCCTGGCTAGTCTAGTGAAGAGAAGGACCAGGGGAGACAGGATAGCAGCCTTCCAAGATTTGAGGGGCTGCCACAGAGAGGAGGAAGGGGGTCAAGCTAGTTTCCAAAGCACCTGAAAGCCGGACAAGGAATAATGGATGGAAACTGAAGAAGGAGAGATTCAACCTGGAAATAAGGAGAAATTTTCTGACAGTGAGGGCAATCAATCGATGGAACAGAAGTTGCCTTCGGAAGTTATGGGAGTTTCATCCCTGGAAGCTTTCAAGAAGAGCCTGGACTGCCATCTGTCAGAAATGGTGTAGAGTCTCCTGCTTGGGCAGGGGGTTGGACTAGATGACCTATAAGGTCCCTTCCAGATTCTCTTCTCTTCTCTTCTCTTCTCTTCTCTTCTCTTCTCTTCTCTTCTCTTCTCTTCTCTTCTCTTCTCTTCTCTTCTCTTCTATTCTATTCTATTCTATTCTATTCTATTCTATTCTATTCTTCTCTGTTCTATCCTACCCTATCCTTCCATCCATCATCTATCTATCTATCTATCTATCTATCTATCTATCTATCTATCTATCTAGAGATCCAGTGCACCCCCTCCTCCCATCCCAACATCAGATGCTTTTTAATCTGAGCACCAAACAATTGTGGCCTGTTTGGAGAGACAGAATTCCTTGTGCCCCGTCATTCGGTGTCACCCCAGACAGAGGGGTCCCCAAGAATCCTCCCACGTTCCAGCCCAGAAAATGATGTTGAGGGATGCTCTCCTGGGGTTCAGGCCAACCAACCAACCAACCAACCAACCAGGGTGGGATTCTGCTGTCTTCTGGCCTCTTTCTACCCAAGATGCCTTCAAGCACAACCTATCTAGATGCTCAGATATGGACCTCTGCAGTCAAGTCCAAAGTGGATGGGCTGTGGGAACTGAGAAGCAGGCCACTCGACACAGGTCTCAGTTCCTCCCTGGTGCCCCACAAGTTCTCCTAATTCTGAAGTGACTCTGAAATCAGAGAGGAAACTCTACATCAGCCGGATCAGATGGTTCTTAGGAGGAAGCAGAGGGAGGGGAGATCCCTGAGGGACTTTCACTTGTAGGTTCTGTGGTGGTGGGTGGAAAAGTCATCAAGGAGAGGACCCGAAGACAGGACAAGAAGCAACGGATGGAAACTAATCAAGGAGAGAGCCAACTTGGAACTCAGGAGAAAATTCCTGACAGTGAGAACAATTATTCAGTGGAATGGAAGTTGCCTTCAGAAGTTGTAGGTGCTCCAACACTGGTAGTTTTTAAGAAGAGATTGGACAGTCATTTGTCTGAAATTCAAACGGTGGAATTCAAATTTTTTTTTACTACCGGTTCTGTGGGTGTGGCTTGGTGGACATGGCAGGGGAAGGATACTGCAAAATCCCCATTCCCACCCCACTCTGGTTGTCTGAACTACTCAAAATTTCCGCTACCGGTTCTCCAGGACATGTCAGAACCTGCTGAATAGCACCCCTGTCTGAAATGATAGGGTCTCCTGCATAAGCAGAGGGCTGGACTAGAAGACCTCCAAGATCCCTTCCAACTCCGTTATTCTGTCCCTGATTATGGATAGTGGCATCTTCTTGTGTCTCCTTGCAGATATCACCCATCCCATTCCGGATTTGACCGGCTTCATAACTGAAGGGCAAATTTATGTGGACCGACAGCTTCACAATAGGCAGGTAAATGGCCTAACTCTTCCTTCCGTCTTTGTGGGAGCATCAGAACTTCTAGGAAGTCCAGAGGTCCTCCTTCCCCACCACCTCCTGGGACTCGTGAAAACTGACCCAAGTCAATTACCGTGACCAGCAGGAAATAAGGCACCATATATATATATGGTGATAAAAGGAGGAGAACTTGTGGCTCAAAAGGTTAATTCAACTGCCTAACATGTGGGAAGCCCAAGTTCGAATCCAAGTAAGGGTATGGCTAGCTGATGAAAGCTAAAAAGCTTGAAATAGATCTATACTAGTCTCCCTTTATTTCTTTATCAGCAAAATATAAATTTTGGACTATTTGGGTTTGGACTAAAAGAGAGAGACCCAAAGTCATCCAGCCAGCTTTCATGCCTAAGGCAGGACTAGAACTCACCATCTCCTGGTGATTGATCCAAAGTCCCCTAACCAGCTTTCATGCCCAACAAGAAACTTGAACTCTCCTGGTTTCTAGCCTGGTGTGCCTTCAAACCCTCTACGAGGAATTCAGCTCACACACTGTGGTGCTTTAGATGACTATATAAAGAACAGGAGTTTTAGGAGCTCTAAGGAGCTTCCTCCCCTCCCATTTGATTTAGGGATCTTAGCTCTCACCTTGTTGTTGTCCCTTTGTGACTTGTGTTTTCTTGGGCCACAGATCTACCCTCCCATCAACGTGCTGCCGTCTCTTTCCCGCCTGATGAAATCAGCTATTGGAGAAGGCATGACCAGGAAGGACCACGGGGATGTTTCAAATCAATTGGTAAAAAAAATTGGCCAGAAATGGTGTAAGGTCTCCTGCTTGGGCAGGGGGGTTGACTAGATGACCTGTAAGGACCCTTCCAACTCAGTTATTCTGTCCCGTCTAAAATATCATCAAGCCACCCTTCCCCTTTAAGGACCTCTGAACAGAATGCTATCTTATCTGAAGTTAGTCAGCATCTGAGCCGCCCTAGATGGGGTGGGAAGGTCGGGGTGCCCAGACGCTGGGAGGGGAGGGGAGGGGAGGGGAGGGGCCACACTCCCTCTGAAACTCAACTCTTCCTTCTGAAGCTGGTTTGGAAAAGGATCAGATTCTCTGGATTGGGAGCGCTAAAAGATTAACGGAGAAAACACAGGTAGTCCTTGACTTACGACAGTTCATTTAGCAACCATTCAAAGTTACAACTGAGAAAAGTGAGTTACGACCGTTTTTCACACTTATGACCAGTGCAGCATCCCCACGGTCACAAGATCAAAAAAAAAAAAAAGATTCAGATATTGGTTCATATTTATGACGGTCTCAGTGACGGTCCCCTTTTGCGACCGTCTGACAAGCAAAGTCAACGCGGGAAGCCAGATTCACTTAACAACCCTGTGACTGGCTTAAGAACTGCAGGGAATTCACTTAACAACGGTGGCAGGAAAGGTCGTAAAACGGGGCAAAGCTGGCTTAACAAATCTCTCTCTTAGCAACAAATCTCTTGAGCTCAATTTAAGTCAAGGACCCCCTGTACCACACTTGGTTAGCACTACCAAACCGAGATTTTTTTGGCACATCTGGCAGACATCCCCCACCCCACCCCCGGTCCAGAGGGGCTTCTGGGGACCCTTCTGTTTCTTGATGTGACCCAGGAGAGGATTCCGAATGACTCTCTTGCTTTGCGTCCAGTATGCGTGTTATGCCATCGGCAAAGATGTCCAGGCTATGAAAGCTGTGGTGGGAGAAGAGGCCCTCACAGCTGATGACCTTCTCTACTTGGAGTTCCTGCAGAAGTTCGAGAAGCAGTTCATTGCTCAAGGTATGTGGGAGAAAGCCATGGACAAGGAGGTCCCAGAAGTGCTTTTTTTCAAGAGGCAACTGGACTTTCTGGTTTTTCTCTGAAGATGTTTCGCTTCTTCTCATCCAAGAAGCTTCTTCAGTTCTTAAGAAGCTTCTTACCTGTCTTGCTTAGAATTTACACACCTTCTTCTCTGACATGTGGATGAGTAACCTATTTGGGGTGGAGGGGTTGAGGAAGTTTGAGTAAAGTATTTCTTCCCCTTTTTTACTCGGTGAACTTAAGATTCAGCGTGACTTTAGCTGAAGAGCTGAAGACGCTTCTTGGATAAGAAGAAGCGAAACATCTTCAGAGAAAAACCAGAAAGTCCAGTTGCCTCTTGAAAAAAAGCACTTCTGGTCATGCCTTTATCTAGCGGAAACACTGGTTCTCCGTCCATTGTGGAGTCTGCTAATGTTGTAAGGAAAGAGGGAGACAGTATAAGGAATAAAATATATTTTATGAGCCGTGGTGGTGCAGTGGTGAGAATGCAGCGTTGCAGGCTAACTCTGCATTCCACTGTCAGCAGTTCGATCCTGACCAGCTCAAAGATTGACTCAGCTTTCCGTCCTTCCGAGGTGGGTAAAATGAGGAACCAGATTGTTGGGGGGAAAGAGGCTGACTCTGTAAACCGCTTAGACAGGGCTCTAAAGCCCTGTGAAGCGTCATATAAGTGCTATTTCTATCTATCTATCTATCTATCTATCTATCTATCTATCTATCTATATCTATCTATTTATCTATCTATCTATCAATCTATCTTATCTATTAGCTATTAGCTATCTATCTGTCTTATCTATTATCTATTATCTATCATCTATCTATTATCTATCTATATCATCTATCTATCTATCTATCTATCTATCTATCTATCTATCTATCTATCTATCTATCTATCTCTATCTCTATCTATTTACGTACCTACCTACCGATCATCCATCCATCTATCTATCTATCTATCTATCTATCTATCTATCTATCTATCTATCTATCTATTTCTTATCTATCATCTATTATCTGCTTGTCTGTCTGTAACTATCTATCTCTATCTTATCTATCATCTATTGTCTGCCTGTCCGTCCGTCCGTCCATCCGTCCATCTATCCATCTATCTATCTACTATCTATCAATCATTAATGAAAGATGAGTCGTGGTGGCATAGTGATTAGAATGCAATATTGCAGGCTGACTCTGCCCACTGCCAGGAGTTCGATCCTGACCGGCTCAAGGTTGACTCAGCCTTCCGTCCTTATGAGGTCGGTCAAAGGAGGACCCGGATTGTTGGGGGGAGAAGATGCTGACTCTGTAAACCGCCTTAGAGAGGGCTGGAAAGCCCTGTGAAGTGGTATATATAAGGGTCTAAGGGCTGTTGCTGATGCTATTTTGATATATAACTTCATGCCCTTCGTAATGAGTTTGTGGCCGGCTTCTCCCAGGCGCCTACGAGAACAGGACCATCTTTGAGTCTCTGGACATAGGATGGCAGTTGCTCCGGATCTTCCCCAAGGAACTGCTGAAACGGATCCCGGAAAGCATCTTGGCTGAGTATTACCCCCGCGAGGCCAAAGGGAATCCAAGCTCCGACACGGCCCTCTGAATCCCAGTCAGTCCGAACCCTCATTCAGGAGAGAGCTGGGCTCAAAGGTGGTCAGCCGATGGGGAGAAGAAGACTCCTCTCGGGATATGAAGCCCGTTCCTTGCGTTGGAATCCGATCCAGACTCCATTTTGCAAAAGTCCCATAATCTTTATTTCCTGCTTGGCAGCTCTCCAAAATGACCACCCACTCGTTTTTCGAACAACTGGTGATACCCGGTGTCCTATTCCAAATAAAAATGAATAAAGTTCGGAGAACTTCTGAGTAAATCTCTGTGACTAGACTTCTTTCGTTCCCAGGGGTGAAATCCAAATTTTTTCCCTACCGGTTCTGTGGGCGTGGCTTGGTGGGTGTGGCACAGGAAGGATATTGCAAAATCCCCATTCCCACCCCACTCTGGGGCCAGCCAGAGATGGTATTTTCCGGTTCTCCGAACTACTCAAAATTTCTGCTACCGGTTCTCCAGAACCTGTCAGAACCTGCTGGATTTCACCCCTGTTCGTTCCTACACTCTCACATGCTTGTCAAACTACAGGTAGTTCTCTACTTGCAATTGTTCATTTAGTGACCATTCAACATTACAACAGCACTGAAAAGAGTGATTTATGACACGTTTTTCACACTTATGACCCTTGCAATATCTTCAGGGTCACATGATCAAAATTCAGACACTTGGCAACGGAATCACATTTATGACGGTCGCAGTGTCCCCGGGATCACGTGATCCCCTTTTGTGACGTTCTGACAAGTCAAGGGGGAAGCCAGATTCACTTAACGATGGTGTTCCTACGCTAATAACTGCAGTGATTCGCTTAACAACTATGGTCGTAAAATTGGGCAAAATTCACTTAACGAATGTTTCACTTAGCAACCGTATGTGTGTGTGTGAGAGAGAGATGGTTCAATTTTACCATCAGGGCCGCCATCTTGGTTCTTTTCCCCATGCATTGTGGAGGTCCCTGGTGCCCCATTTAGCTTTGCTTGTTTCTGCTCTTTGGCCATAGAAGGAACCAAATGACGGTGGTGGAACCATCAAAGCTTCTTGGCTGCGAGAAGGATGGGGAAACTCAAGAGTTGGGGGAACAGACTGTGAAATTCTCTCCAATGGGAGACCCTCTGGTCCTTCAGCTCCTGGAGATCCAAACCAACATCAAGGGGGCATGCAAAGGGATCAACAGTCTTTAGAAGAACATCAGGTGTGTCCCTCTGAATCAGACCTCTGGCCCATCTCATCTAGCAGTCTGATCTCACCATGGCCGAGCAGCTGCCCAACGAAAGGTCCTTAGCTGACCTCCCACAGTCAATATCGAACCACGTTGCTTAAGGGGTGAAATCCACTTACCTTCACGACCGGTTCCCAAATGCGAGCGTGGGCGCCTCCTCCACACATGCACAGAAGGTAAAAAATGGGACGTGATGACGTCTGGGCGGGTGGGTGGAGCCACCCAGACGCTACTGGTTTGCCCGAGCCGGATAGAATTGGCTGAATTTCACCACTGCTTTGCTTCTTTCAACCCTTATCGCTATTCAACTTGTCAATGAATTGGGGGCAGGGAAGGGGGGAGGAATTTGTGCAGGGGTCTGGAGAGCCTGGAAACCACCAAGGTCACGACTGCAGGTGCTGGAGAAAGAGATGGACTGTTCCCATAACTAAAGGGCGTCTCCTAAATGGACCGTGTGATCACTCAGGGGTGGGGAGAAAGGGAAAGCTATTGTTTAACTAGGCAAGCTGTCAGGTTTCGAGGTGGTCTCAAATAAATTGCATTTCAAACAAAGGCTTTGAAGGAAAACTCCTATTTATTAAGCACGGCATTCTAAAATCCGACTCCATCGAAACCAACACTGACTTCAAGACCCAAAACCTTTCCGTTCCCCACTCCCCTGCACTCATTGGCCATCTTCCAAGTCATTCTACCCCTAATCTACTGCTCCAGCTCAAAGGAATTTCCCCCTCCCATCCCATCTCCTAGGGGATATTATCTCCAGGGAAAATAAGTAGGTGAAAAGTCAAATGTCCCTTTCCAGACGCCTTCGTTTCTCCTTCTTATGTCAGCACTAGAGTAAATGCAGCTTGAAGTACTGACACAAGCATTCGTGCGGGAAAAACCAGAGCTGATTCTGATTCTTCAGTACCAAAACGGTGTATCCAATGAAGTTTTACTTTTGGGGATTCACAGCTCCCGAGAGCGTTTCCTTGTTTTGGGTGTGCCAGTTGGGACAGTTGACATGGAGAACATCAAACCATGCAACCACACAAGGATGATTCCGCTGTGATGGGGCTGCTGGGGGGAGGAGGGTTTCACTTCTGCAAAGCATGTGGGGTGAAGGCAAGGTCCGTCCAGCATGTGACCTTCTGGGCAGGAAGTGCTCAGCTTTCACTTCTGATGGATAAAGAGCCAAGAGAGAAAGCGGTGGAGACACTCCAGCAGAAGAGGCAGAGAGAGATCTGGGGGTCTCTGCCCCATGGAACGTCCTGAGGATGACTTCGCCCCATTTGGAGGTAAGGGGGCTGCTCTGGAAGGACAAAGCAGCTTTAGAAGGAAGGGACAATTACAGATAAACCTCAGCTTATGACCACAACATTTCCATTGCTAAGCGAGACAGTTATTGAGTTTTGCCCCATTTTACCACCTTCCTTGCGACTGTTGTTAAGTGAACCCCTGCAGTGGTTAAGTTAGTGACACAGTTAGTTGTGAATCTGGCTTCCCCCTTGACTTGGCTCGTGAGAAGGTCGCAAAAGGGGATCACAGGACACTGCGACCGTCATAAATATGAACCAAGCATCTCAATTTTGATCACGTAACCCTGGGGAATGCTGCAACGGTCGTAAGTATGAAACACGGCCCTAAGACATTTTTTTTTCAATGCTGTTCTGGCTTTGAACGGTCACTAAACGAATGGTTGTAAGTCGAGGATTACCTGTATAGAATAACGGAGGCCTTCACGCTGCCATCAAGGCTATAACAGAATACAGAATAACGGAGTTGGGAGGGACCTTGGAGGTCTTCTAGTCCAACCCCCTGCTCAGGCAGGAAAGCCTATGCCATTCCAGATAGATGGCTGTCCCGTCTCTTTTTTGAAAGCCTCCAAATCTGATGGATTTTTTATCTTTTTCCATTAAAGTGACCAGGCTGCCCTTTTGACTAAACCTAAAAGCAGTTTTTTGTTTTTTTTTACCAGTCAGAATGACACTTGAATTCTGATCTGCTTCTAAACGTTGCTGATATTGGGTTAAGATGAGTGCATCTGCTGGAGGGGTCATGGGGTCCTTTAGGTGGGGCATGGACTGCTGGTGACCTCTGCCTCTCGCACGCCTACAAAAACGGAAGAGGAAGTTGCTCCCAGAAGGTCAGTCCTGAGGACAGAAAGATTGCCGTCGTAAGAGAAGAAAGGATAAGAAGCACGACAGCAAAGGGGAAAAAAAATCTTTGGAGCTCAGGGCTGAACTGTGGGGTCCTTGGTGGTCTCTGAACGGGGTGGTTTTCTTGCAGATGTTTCATGACCCAACTAGGTTACATCATCAGCACTAGGAGGGAGTGGGTGGGAGAGGAGGAGGAGGAGGAGTAAGAGGAGGACTGTGGGGTTCTTGGTGCTCTCTGAGTTAGGTGGGTTATTTGCAGACATTTCATGACCAAGCTAGGTAATATCATCAGTGCTAGAAAGGAGGAGGAGATAGGAGGAGGAGGAGATAGGAGGAGGAGGAAATAGAAGAAGGGTGGAAGGAAGAAGGAGGAGGAGAAGGGGGAGGAGGAGGAGAAGGGGGAGGAGGAGGAGAAGGAGAAGGAGAAGGAGAAGGAGAAGGAGAAGGAGAAGGAGAAGAAGAAGAAGAAGAAGAAGAAGAAGAAGAAGAAGAAGAAGAAGAAGAAGAAGAAGAAGAAGAAGAAGAAGAAGAAGAAGAAGAAGAAGAAGAAGAAGAAGAAGAAGAAGAAGAAGAAGAAGAAGAAGAAGGTAGTTCTAGAAGGGAGGAGAGTTTGCAGGAGGGAGGAGGAGGAGGAGGAGGAGGAGGAGGAGGAGGAGGAGGAGGAGAAGGAGAAGGAGAAGAAGAAGAAGAAGAAGAGAAGAAGAAGAAGAAGAAGAAGAAGAAGAAGAAGAAGAAGAAGAAGTAGTAGTAGTTCTAGAAGGGAGGAGAGTTTGCAGGAGGGAGGAGGAGGAGGAGGAGGAGGGATGCGGGATGCTTGGTGCCCCCTGAGCTTGGTGGTTTTCTTGCAGACCTTTCATGGCCCAACTACGTTACCTCATCAGTGCTAAGAGGGAGCGTGGTTTGCCCTCATTTTATATATTAGTGGCTTTCCCTGTCAGTTTTCGTGGGAGTTGCCTTGATGGTCCCTTGAACCAAGGAGGACCAGCCAGGAGTATATAAAATGAGAGATCAAATGAGATCAAGACCCTCCCTTCTAGCACTGATCACTAACCAAAGCAGTGTTGTAAGTCAAGGACTGACTGCATTAAATCAGTCGTTTTACCACCTGGAAAGGAAAACGCTTCGTATTCCTAAATCCACAGGACTTTCCCCTGCCTTGAGCTCCCAAGGCCCCACGGCCAGCCTCCCACGGATCTCAGTTGGGCTTGTGCAGGAGAACTTCCCACACAATTCCTTCCTTCTCAAATTGTGCCTCCTGCCATTCCCCCCACAAACACAGGACACGCCCATGCGGTCTGCTTGGAGGAGACCTGGACTTCAGGTGTGATACCTGGAACTGGTGACCCCCTTACAAAAAAGAGGTTGAGACTTTGGAAAAAGGGCAGAAAAGAGAAACTAAGAGAATTAAAGGCCTGGAGACGAAAACATAGGAAGAAGAACGGTGGCAGGAATTGAGTTTGGCCAGTCTAGAGGAAAGAAGAAGTCTAGGGGGGACATGAGAACAGTCTTCCAATATTTGGAGAGGTTGCCACAAAGAAGAGGGGATCAACCAGGGGTGAAATGCTCCCGTTTTGGACCGGATCGAGCGATCCGGTAGCGATTGTGGTGGGTAGTTCGGCGATCCGATAGCGATGGCGGAAGGAAGGTTTTAACCAGAAAGTAATGTGTTTTTTACCTTCTGCGCACGTGGCACTTGCACTTCCGAACCGGTAAGGAAGGTAAGAAGATTTCACCCCTGGGATCAATTTATTCTCCAAAGCCCCTGAAGGCAAGACAAGAAACAACGGATGGAAACTCATCAAGGAGAGAAGCAAGCTGAAATTAGGAGAAACTTTCTAACAGTGAGGACAATTAGCCAGTGGAACAGCTTGCCACCAGAAGTTGTGGGTGCTTCATCACTGGATGCTTTTAAGAAGAGACTGACTGTCTGAAATGGTAGAGGGTCTCCTGCTTGAGCAGGGGACTGGACTAGAAGACCTCCAAGGTCCCTTCCAACTCTATACTGACTAAACTTCCTTTATATTCCCCTGCAGTCATTTGGGAATTGGAGAGCGATTCAAATTCAGAGGAAGATGGAGATGAGCAGGTAGGTCGATCTCCTGCAGCTGCAACTTCGGTTCCATCTGTTCTGCAGATCAGACAGAATATCACGACCTAATCCTGGGCCTGGTGGCTCAGCAGACTAAAGCACTGTTAATTAACACCAGCTGCTTGTAATTACTGCAAGTTCAAATCCCACCAGGCTCAAGGTTGACTCAGCCTTCCATCCTTCCGAGGTCGGTAAAATGAGGATCCGGTTTGTGGGGGCAATAAACTGACTTTGTATATAAAAAAGAACACCGCTTGGGGGGGGCCAAAAGCCCTACTAAGCAGGTATATACAAAAGTATGAAGGCTATTGCTTAGCGCATTGTAAGCCGCCCTGAGTCTCCGGAGAAGGGCGGCATATAAATCAAATTAAAAAAAAAAAATCTGGCTTCTTTGGGGATCATTCAAATCCACCACTCCCTCACTCCCGCTCTTCTAGACCAGGGGTCTCCCAACTTGGCATCTTGAAGACTTGTGGACCTCAACTCCCCAAATTTAAAAAGGAGGTGGGTGGGTGTTTTGGAGAACCAATACAGGAGCAGAGAAATGTGAAGTCTGGTTCATTTTTGCAGGAGACGGATCTTTCCCAGGAAATGGCGGAAACCAAAGAAAAAATCGCAGAAATTGAGCAAGGTACGTCTAGGCAGAGATGCAGGGGGTCGGGGGGGGATTTACCTCTTCTGCTTCTCTAAGAGGAAGGACACACAAGGCTCTCAATTCAGGTTTTGGGGTTGGAAGAAGGAAAATATGTGGGACTCCAGGTGGAGGAGAAATGAGCAGTTCGAAAGAAGTGGACCGTTTCTCCCCATCGAAAAATTCAGGCCCGCGACTGATACGAAGTTGGGTGTGTCTAGTTTAATGAAAAGAAGGACTAGGGGGGGGATATGATAGCAGTGTTCCAGCATCTGAGGGGCTCCTACAAAGAAGAGGGGGTCCACCTATTCTCCAAAGCACCAGGAGAAGAAGCAACGGATGGAAACTAATGAAGGAGAGAAGCAACCTGGAATTAAGGAGAAATTTCCTGACAGTGAGGACCATTAGCAGAGTGGAACTACTTGCCACCAGATGTTGTTGGTGCTTCCATCACTGGAAGCTTTGAAGTAGAGACTGGAATAGTAGAGGGTTTCCTACCAGAGCAGGGGGTTGGACTAGAAGACCTCCAAGGTCCCTTCCAACTCTGTTATTCTGAAGTGAAAGGAAGAAGCAGAAGAAACCTTGATTTATTTTATATATTTTTAAGTTAAGACGTTTTGGGTCTCAGGTCACCATGTAAGATATGGCAGTCCAGATCAGGCCACCCAAATCACCCCCTTTGGCCATTGAGTCATTCAAAACATCGCTTTTGAAATGACCTAAATTTGTGACATTCTCAGGAGGCTTCCTACAGTCCCTTCTCTAAAGTTCTCAGAGGAGGAGATCCAGGCCTGGCATGAAATCAGGCAGGGCTTCGGCAATACCACCACACCCATCCTCCTGGCATTTGGGGCCAACTTCTGTGGGCACCCCTGGCTGGGGGGTTCCCGGTTTGGGGGCCGTTGCTGTAACCCCCTTGTCCCGCTCTTCCCGTCCCCAGCTTCTCAAGCCCTCTTGGCTGAGTTGTCCAGCATGGAGGCGGAGTATGAGATTGAGAAGAGCTGCCGAGAACAGGCAGAGGCCTTCGCCATTCAGGTGAGGAGGGGTCCCTCCAGCCGAGGACCAGGCGGGGCCTTCCCTCCAGGGGTCCCTCCAGGGGCCCGGCCACATTTCCTCCTCTGATCCTTCATCATCTCCTCTTGGCTGCCCCAGGTCAGCCGGGAGAACCAGAAGCTGAAGCGGATCAGCCTGGCGCTCCTGCCCAGGTTGGGTCTCCACCAGGAAGACTTTGCGGTCCTGAGCAGCGGAGAACAGACCCTTCCTGGCCCTGCCCCGGATCCCATGGGCAGGTGCCTTCAGCAGGTCAAAGGTGAGCCAGGGAGACCTCCTCCGCCCCCTCTCTTCTGCCCAGGAGGAAAAGACCCTTCGGGGGGTCAGGTACAAAGTGGGCGGATACAATCCTACAATCTCAGGGGGCGCTTGGATCACTCTTAAGTTCACCCTGCTTTATTTAGGGGATCTGGATTTGGGGAACCCCCTGAAGCAGGAAGACGGGGGCCTAAAGGGAGGTTGGCCACAGAGAAAGAAGGGAGGGAGGGAGGGAGGGAGGGAGGAAGGAAAAGATAGACAGAAGGAAGGAATAGAAGAGGGAGGAAGGAAGGAGAAAAGGATGGAAGGAAAAGATAGAAGGAAGGAATAGAAGAGGGAGGGAGGGAGGAAGGAAGGAAAGATGGAAGGAAGGAAGGAAAGATGCAAGGAAGGAAGGAATAGAAGAGGGAGGGAGGAGGAAGGAAGGAAGGAAATATGGAAGGAAGGAAGGAAGGAATAGAAGAGGAAGGAAGGAAGGAAGGAAGGAGTGCCCCCTGCCGGCCTTTGGAGGAGCCTAGCAGAAAAAGAAGGGAACATTGCAGAGACGGTCGGGAGAGGGGAGGAGCAGCGCAGCCATAGAGGAACAAGGGGGGAGGGAAGGGGGGAGAGGAATATACAGACCTAAAAATAAAAAGTAAAGGTCATGGAAGGTAAACTGAATAATAGCCTTAGGACCACAACCATCCCTTCCTTCCTTCCTTCGCAATTTGTTCCCTTCCTTCTTTCTTCTCTCTCCTTTCTTTTTTCTTCCTCCCTTCCCTCTTCTTTCCTCCCTTCATTCTTCCCTCCTTTTTATCTCTCCTTTTCTTTTCTCGTTGCTTTCTTCCTTCTTTCTTCCCTCCCTCTCTCTCTCTCCCTTCCTTCTTTATCCTCTCTTCTTTCTACCTTTCCTTTTCTCTTCCTCCCTCCCTTCTTCCAGTGCTTCATGTGGTGTTTTTCTTACCTCCGTGTCAATCCAAATGAATGCTCTCCCCATTTTTTTTTAAAAAAAGAATCTTTCTTCTTCAAAATGAGCAGGGAGGGCACTGCAAAACGAGGCCCACCAGCCCATCCTCCTCTTGGCCTCCAAGAGGGACCCCCTGAGTGGTTCCCAGATGTTTCTAGAGGATAATTAACACCGTCTTCCTTTCCTCCAGACCTTCAACTCAGGGTTTCATGGCTGCTGGAGGAGAAGAAGGAATTGTCTGCTCAAGTGAAGGACCTCCAGGCCCATGTGGAGAAGCTCCAGCATCAGGTACCTGTTATGGATTAGTGCCTACACCAGTCTTTCTCAACTTTGACCCCTTTAAGATGGGTGGACTTCAACTCCCAGAATTCCCCAGCTAGACTGGCTGGGGACTTCTGGGAGTTGAAGTCCACCCATCTTAAAGGGCCAGAGGTTGAGAAATGCTGGCCTAGAGGTTGATGGGGTGAAGACGAAGGGAAGCTCTGGAAGCCCAAGGAGGCCAGGAATGCCACCTCATCGGAAGCAAAGCTGGCTTGATCCAAGGCTTTGGACACATTGCCCAATTTGCTCCTGAAATAGGTTTGAAACTGGCGGGGAATGATGAAATTTCCTTCTGGTTAAGGTGGCCTCATTTTTAAAAAAAATTATAATTTATTAACATTCTCTATATTTTCTGAAAACTATGAAAAGAGTATCATTTTCTTTTTCTTTTCTTTCTTTCTTTCCTTCCTTCCTCTCCCTCCATCCCTTCCTCCTTTCCTCCGTCTTTCTTTTTCTTTCTTTCTTTCTTTCTTTTTGAATCAAGCTACAAGAGGAGCGTGTTGAGAAGCAGTCTCTGAAAACTTTGAAGGAACACAGCCAGAAGATGTTGACGAGGGTCAAACGAGGTGAGTTTGGGTCTCAGCCTTCTACCTATTTATCCCCTATCTTTCCAAAACAGGGAGTTGAATCTACAGAAAGCTCAAACCTTTTTCTGTGGGAAGCGATGGATGAAAACCACAGGGAAAAATTCACGAAGCACCTCTTTTTTAAAAGAGGTTCTCTTCTCAAAATCCAAAGGGTTCCTTTGGGTTGGATCTGACCCAGGTATCTTCTGTAACCCTTCCAGCATCCCGTTTGGTCACCGAGGAGTACGGCAGGATGTCGCTGCAGTTAGATCTGGAGGAGAAACTGAGGCAGCAAGCAGAAATCTTTGCCCAGCAGGTGAGATGCCAGCTGTGGTTGGGCCCCTCTCTTTTTTAGACTCTGGGAGAGGAATTTGGGATTGGAAACCAATCAAGGAGAGAAGCAACCTGGAATTAAGGAGAAACTTCCTAACAGTCAGAACAATTAACCAGTGGGACAGAAGTTGCCTCCAGAAGTTGTGGGTGTGCCATCACTGGAGGCTTTTAAGAAGAAACTGGACAACATTTATCCAGAATGGATAGGGTCCATTCAGAATGGATAAGGTCTCCTGCTTGAGCAGGGGGTTGGACTAGAAGACCTCCAAGGTCCCTTCCAACTCTGTTAAACAGCCCAACCAACGAACCTCCGACCTCACTCTCACCAAAGTTACTAGAATATAAATTGAGAGCAACCCCCCCCCACTTCTTGCACTGATGATGTTCCCTAGTTGGGTAATGAAACGTCTGCAAGAAGGCAGAGAGCGCCCAGGACCCCTCACCCTGGTCTCCTCCCTCGTTAGATGCTGGTGAAGCAGAAGGAGGCCCATCGGCAGAGCCTGATTCTGATGCAGAACGTGGGAGCCGAGGCTCAGCTTCTCCTGGCCTTGCAGGAAGTGGCCGAGATGAGCAAGGAGTTGGAGGAAGCCAAGATGGAGCACCAGGCTAAAGTGAGCTTATAGGGACATCGGCTTTCTCCCTTCCCTCTCCCTTCAAAATCAATTGTTCTTAGCTTACGCCTTTAGCAGAAAAGCCCCCAGGGAGCAGAAGACGCCCCCAATTCTGCTTAAAGTGGGAGAGGGGAGACGATGGGGCAGGATTCGGAATGGGTTCCAATGGGTTCTGAAGGCCGATGGGACCCAAGTTTGCCCCAGGGACTCCCCGGCGGTCTCCCCTTGGATGACAAGCTGCTCTTTTGTCTTCTCCCAGGCTGTCCTGGAATTGGGGAGGGGGGTTTTTATTTATTAAAGAAATCTACATGGCCACCGAACTCAATATTGACTTACAACAGGGGTCTCCAAACTTGGCAATTTTGTGGACTTCAACTGACGGCTGGCTGGGGAATTCTGGGAGCTGAAGTCCACAAGTCTTAAAGTTGCCAAGTTTGGAGACTCCTGGCTCACAACATTAAAAACCCACAACACAAAAACCGGGAAACCCCCCCCCCCCCACCCTCATGGCAGCAGTAAGACAACCGTGTCAAAGATGGGCTCCATCTCCATTCGTGGTCCTCAGGTCCACTGACAAAGCCACGTTCTTCAGGGTCTTAATGGGAAAGCAACCAAGTGGGGGGCCAATCGTACCAGAAGGGGAACAAAGCCCCGTAAAGAAGGGGCCACCCCCGAGAAGGCCCTTGTTGTTTTTGTGGTCCTACCAACCAGAGGGACATCCTTAATGGGTGGGACCCGTAACACGCCCAGCCTTCCTGGTGGACGTTCTCCCCGAGGATTCAACTCCTGCACCTTTGACTCTCCCAGGTGAAGGAACTGGAGGCCCAGTTGGTGGAGCGGCCACTGCCAGAGGAGCTGGCCAGGGTGCAGGCAACGTTGGCCGCAGCAGAGGCAGGAAAGGCCCACCTGGAGGAGGGACTTCTCCGGGCAGAGGAGAAATGCGCCACTCTGGAGCACAAAGGTTTGCTGGTCTTGCGCAGAGTGCAAAGAATTTTGGGGAAAGGAGGTGGGAAAGGGAAGACTACGCTGGGCTGCCCGGAGATGCTGAACGAGGAGCTCAGCTTAGCCAAGGACCTTTCAGCCTCGCCCGTTGTGGGAACTCAACCTCATGCCGGCTTGGAGTTTGGGCTCTATTGAGTAAGCTCTGGCTCTCTTCACCATGGAGAAATCTCTCGATCTGTCAGTCTTGAAGGGTCCTTGGTGCGCTCTGAGCTTGGGGGTTTTTTTGTAGACATTTCATTACCCAACTAGGTAACTTCATCAGTGCGATAGTTGAGTAATGAAACGTCGGCCAGAAAACCACCAAGCTCAGAGAGCACCAAGGAGACCAGGGTCCTTTTCCTCCTCCCCTCTCCATAAATCCCATTCCTTTTAGCACTGATGAGGTTATCTAGCTGGGTCATGAAACGTCTGCCAGAAAACAACCAAGCTCAGAGAGCACCAAGGACCCTGCAGTTCTCCTCCTCCTCCTCCTCTTTCTTCTCCTCCTCCTCCTCCTCCTCCTCCTCCTCCTCCTCCTCCTCCTCCTCTTTCTTCTCCTCCTCCTCTTTCTTTTCCTCCTCTTCCTCCTCCTCTCTGCAAACCCAACTCCCTTCTAACACTGATGATATAACCCAGTTGGGTAATGAAACATCTGCCAGAAAGCTCTGAGAGCACCAAGGACTATAGAGTCCTCCTCCTCCTCCTTTCCATAAATCCCACTCCGTTCTAGCGCTGATGATGTTCCCTAGTTGGGTCATAAAACCAAGCTCCAAGAGCACCAAGGACCCCTCATTTCAACCGTGAGCGAGACATATTCCCCTCCGCTGGTATCCGAGACCTGTAAGGCAGGACAGGCAGAGCCCAATAAATTTCTGCAAAGGAGGCGGGACCCCCTCTTGTCATTCCTGATCCCATAGAAAGCAATGAAGCACCTTGAAGACTTCCCTCCTAAACTCCGCCTTCTCTTGCAGTGAAAGTCCTGGAGGAGGGGGCTAAGGCCCCTGACACCCCAGAGGAGCACCCGGTGATCCCCGTTCCACCCCCACCCCCACCCCCACCCCCTCTGCCACCTCCCACCTGGTCGGCAAAGACGGAGTGAGTATCTGACCCCAAACCCAATTGGCAGCTTTTTCTCCTTCTGTTCAGCCATGTTGGGAACCTGGAGTGATGATTCTTCCCATCTGGAAGGCAGCAGCTTTGGTGAAGTTGTGCAGGGAGTCCTCGACTTACAACCATTCATTTAGTGGCCATTCAAAGTTACAACAGGCAATGAAACACATGACTAGCGTCCATTTTTCACACTTACGACCGTTGCAGGCTCCCTTTTGTCGTTTACTCCAAATTCGGACACTCGGCAACTGACTCCTATTTATGATGGGTGCAGGGTCCCCAAAATTTCTGTGGCTAAGCGACACGGTCCTTAAGTGAGTTTTGCCCCATTTTACGACCTTTCTGGCCACCGTTGTTAAATGAATCACTGCAGCTGTTAAGTAAGGGAATCCGGCTCCCCTATGGACCTTGTCTGTCAGAAGGTCACAAAAGACCCCGGGACACTGCCACCGTCATAAATACGAGTCAGTTGCCAAGCATCTGAATTTGGATGGAGAGGCTACAACGGTCGTAAGTGTGAAACGGGTCATAAGTCCCTTCTTTTCAGTGCTGTTGCATTTTTGAATGGTGACTAAATGAAGGGTTGTAAGTCGAGGACTACCTGTCGTTCCCCAGCGTAGCTGCCTAGAGCAGTGTTTCTCAACTTTGGTAGCTTGAAGATGGGTGGACTTCAACTCCCAGAATCCCCCAGCCAGCTCTGCTGGCTGGGGGATTCTGGGAGTTGAAGTCCACCCATCTTCAAGCTTCCAAGGTTGAGAAACCCTGGCCTAGAGGATTTCCTAGCCTCATCCATTCCTACCAGTAAGGAGCCCACTCACCCGGGGCTGCGGCCACCTTGGGAAGGTTGCAGGTTGCAAGGAGAGCTCGGCCAAGAGGGCGTGGGAGTTGGGGGAGGGGGGGGGCTGTAGGACCCCCAGCTGGGGAGGGGGGACATTTGGGAAAGCTTGACCGTCCTCCTTTGCCTGCCGTTTGCAGCCCCCTGATGGCCCTGCGAGAGAGGAAAGGAGCACAGCCTGTGAAAAGGGGTAAGTGGACGTGGGGGCAGCCAGGACCACTTGCACCTGGCCCCAAACAACCCCCCCCCAGCCCCCCACGCCCACATGGATGGGGGGGCCAGGACTGTTCAGGAAGTTTCCCCAGTGGGAGTCACCTTCTGCTCTTATAATGGGAAGGGAGGGAGGGAAGGAAGGAGGGAAGGAAGGAAAGAAAGATAGGTACGAAGGGAGGGAGGAAAGAAGGGGAAGAGGAGGGAGGGAGGCAAGAAGGGAGGGAGGGAGGAAGGAAGGAAGGGGAGGAGGAGGAGAGAGGAGGGATGGAGGAGAGAGAGAAAGAAGGAAGGAAGGAAGGAAAGGTATGAAGGGAGGGACGAAAGAAGGGGAGGAGGAAGGAGGGAGGGAAGAAGGGGAGGAGAAGGAGAGAGGGAGGGAGGGAGGAGGGAAAGAAGGAAGGAAGGAAGGAAAGATAAGGAGGGAGGGAGGGAGGGAAGGGAGGAAGGAAGGAAAGGAAGGAAGGAAGGAAGGAAGGAAGGAAGGAAGGAAGGAAGGAAGGAAAGATAGGTACGAAGGGGGGAGGAAAGAAGGGGAAGAGGAGGAAGGGAGGGAAGGAAGGAGGAGGGAGGGAGGGAGGGAAGGGAAGGAAGGAAGGAAAGATAGGTACGAAGGGAGGGAGGAAAGAAGGGGGGAAGAGGAGGGAGAGAGGCAAGAAGGGAGGGAGGGAGGAAGGGAAGGAAAGAAGGGAGAGGAGGGAGGGAGGGAAGAAGGGTGGAGGAGGGAGGGAGGGAGGAGGGAAAGAAGGAAGGAAGGAAGGAAAGATACGAAGAGAGGGACGGAGGGAAGAAGGGGAGGAGGAGGAGAGAGGGAGGGAGGGTGAGAATGAACAAATGAAGAAGGAAGGCAGGAATGAGTAAATGAAATTATAAAATGATGAACCCTCCATATTTTGAGACACTACAGGTAGTCCTTGACTTGCAACCCTAATTGAGCCCAACATTTCTGTTGCTAAGCAAGACAGTTTTTAAGAGACTTTAGCCCCATTTTACGACCTTTCTTGCCACAGTTGTTAAGTGAATCACTGCAGTTGTTAACTGAATGACACAGTTGTTAAGTGAATCTGGCTTCCCCCTTGACATTGCTTGTCAGAAGGGAGTCACGTGAACCCGGGACTCTGCGACCGTCATAACCACGAGGCATGTGAATTTTGATCACGTGATTATGGGGCTGGAATGACGGTCGTTAAGTGAGAAAAGTAAATCACTTTTTTCAGTGCTGTTGTAACTTTGAACTTTCAACGGTCACTAAATGAATGGTTATAACTCGAGGACTGCCTGCGTATTAGGAAAGTCCAACTTACAAGAAAACTGGAGGGCTAATTTGTCCAATCCCGGGGCAGGAGAAGACCTTTGCTCCGACGATGCGACGGCCAGAGCCGTGGAGGAAATGATGGCCCGGATCAAGAGCGGAGTGGCCCTGCGGCCAGTGAGGAGGGGCCCCGAATCCTCCCCCCAGGTAAGGCCAGGGAGGGGGGAGGCAGGGGGGGGAAGCATCTAGGCTCGGCCAACACAGGTAGTCCTCGACATACGACCACAACGGAGCCCAAAATTTATGTCACTAAGTAAAACATTTATTAAGCAAGTTTCATCCCCATTTTACGACCGTTGTTAAGTGAATCACGGCAGTGGTTAACTTAGCGACACGGTTCTGAATCCGGCTTCCCCCTGGACGTTGCTTGTTGGAAGGTCGCAAAGGGGGACCCCACTGACTGCGACCGTCGTAAATGCGAGTCAGCTGCCAAGCGCCCGAATTTCGATCCCGTGTCCCTGGAGATGCTGCAACGGTTGTGTGGAAAAACGGTCCGAAGTCCCCCCCCCCTTTTTTTTTCAGTGCCGTCGTAACTTGAAACGGTCAGTAAACGGACCGTTGTAAGTCGGGGACCGCCTGTATTTCATGCCCCCTTCAGCACGTGCGGCTGAGGGATTGCGAGAAAGCCACGTTGCAACCACCGCGGATCGTGGAGAAGATCCAGTCCTGCCACGGGTGGGGATCCACGGAGAGTTCCTCTACAGCAGTGTTTCTCAACCTTGGAAGCTGGAAGATGGGGGGACTTCAACTCCCAGAATCCCCCAGCCAGCGTTGCACTGGCTTGGGGATTCTGGGAGTTGAAGTCCCCCCATCTTCCAGCTTCCAAGGTTGAGAAACACTGCTCTACAGAGACGGGAGCAAAACGCCAGAAAATCTGATTTTTCACCCATTTCTTCCTTAGCCTCCATCTGCTGCAGCGAACAAGCGAAGGAGCGTGGCCATGGAGCTGCAAGACCTCCTGGTAAGCCTCCTTTGTGGTCTCTGTGTGTGTGCATGCGTGCACACACAACCTCTTCGGGTAGTCCTCGACTTACAACGGTTTGTTTAGTGACCGACGTTACAGCGGTCCTGTCCAAAGTGACTTGGGCCCGTTTTTTGCAGTAGGTTTCTCCTTCTCTTTGCCTGGGAACCAGCAGAATTGTTTCCTTACGTGGTAACAATTGCCGGCAGTCCCCGACTTACGACGGTTCTTTGAGTGACCGTTCAAAGTTAGCACGGCACAGAAATAAGCGATTTGTCCCTCCCTCCCTCTCTCCCTTCTTCCTTCCTTCCTCCCTACATCCCTCTCTTCTTCCCTCCTTCCTTCTCTCCCTCCCTCCTTCCTTCCTTCCCTCCTTCCTTCCTTCCTTCTCTCACTCCCTTCTTCCTTCCTTTCTTCCTTCCTTCCTTCTCTCACTCCCTTCTTCCTTCCTTCCTTCCCTCCCTCCTTCCTTCCTTCCTTCCTTCCTCTCTCCTTCCCTCCTTTGCTCCTTCCTTCTCACTCCCTTCTTCCTTCCTTCCTTCCTTCTCTCCCTCCCTCCCTCCTTCCTTCCTTCCCTCCTCCCTTCTCTCACTCCCTTCTTCCTTCCTTCCTTCCCTCCCTCCTTCCTTCCTACCTCCCTCCCTCTCTCCTTCCCTCCTTCTCTCACTCCCTTCTTCCTTCCTTCCTTCCTTCCCTCCCTCCCTCCTTCCTTCCTTCCTTCCTTCCTCCCTCCCTCTCTCCTTCCCTCCTTTGCTCCTTCCTTCTCTCACTCCCTTCTTCCTTCCTTCCTTCCTTCCTTCCTTCCTCCCTCCCTCCCTCCCTCCCTCCTTCCCTCCTTTGCTCCTTCACTTTACTTTCCGTCCTTCCTTCCATGCCACATTCTCCTTGGCCAAGGGTGGGTTAGGGCACTGCAGGACCCTTCACCACTGACTCAGTTGGGTAAAGTTTCCTTCAAAAGATATGAGGAGAATCTGAAAGCCGGCCGGCTCCTCCGCCAGCGTGCATCCTTATGGAAAGAGTGGCCAAAACGCTTCCTCTCCATTCTGGTGACATTGATTGCTGTCTCCAACACCAATCAGCTGCAAGAGCCAAGCCACAATAGGCTTCCATGCCTAAGGCGGGACTAGAATTCATCGTCTCCTGGTGATCGACCCAAAATCTCCCAACCAGTTTTCATATCTAAGGTGAGGCTAGAACTCCCAGTCTCCTAGTCATTGGCCCGAGGTCACCCAGCCATCTTTTTCATGCCTAAGGCAGGACTAGAACTCCCAGCCTCCAGGTTCCTAGCCTGGTGCCTTCGCCACGAGACCAAACAGGGTCTCCAGGGTCTGCCTGCCTCCACCCGTCCCGCTGTTCTGATCCCCAGAGTACCCCGAGGAGGCCAAGTAGACGATCCAGCCGCCATAAGGGCAGCCAGAAGAAACTCCTGGTGGACAACCAACTCGAGAAGCTCCTGCAGAGACGGCGGCGTATAGTGGACCAGAGCCCGGTCCTGCCAGAGCCATCTGCCCCAGCTGCAAACGGGGGGCTCCAGCCTCCTATCCCCGCGGCCAGGGAGGAAGACCAGGCAGCTTCAGCAGTGGGGGTCCCGAGGAACCCCCAACCCAAGCAGACAAACTTCTCAGGGAACGCCAAAGATCTACCAGGTAGGAACCTTGCTTCTTGGGCTCCCCTACCTGCCCCTCAACTGGGGGTCTCTCATCCTGCAGAAGACAAGTGTCCAATTTCTGGGGGTCCCGTTGATGAGAAAATCGATGCACGTGTGAATCCATCCATGGTGCAGTGTTAAGCATTTTGTGTCACTCCCTGCGTCTCTGGACTTCAACTCTGCTGGCTTTTTTTTTTCTGTATTTTTTAAATAATTTTCAATAAAAATTTAGAAAAGAAAAAAAAAACTCTGCTGGCTCAAGAATCCTGGGAGTTGAAGTCCAGAGGTCCTGAAGTGGTCATAGTGACCCACCCCCATTCTAGGGATGTCTGGGGTGTCCATAGAAGCACCTCCTTTTAACACACAAGGCCGGTAAAAAACGAGCAAAGCTTTGATGCCACGTTGTGGCTGCCATCTTGACTTTTTTGACCTACTCTGCCCACCCTTCCTCCGGCAGACGGGATGCCAACTATTTCAAACTCAAGGCAGCCTTTGGGACTGTTTTGCGCCAGGTCAGCCTTGGACTATGACCGTCCAGTGTTGGTCACCATGATACAAAAGAGACCCTGGAAAGAATGCAGAGAAGAGCAAGAGAGACGATTAGGGGGCTAGAAGAGGATAAAACATACGAAGAAGCGTTCCAGGAAATGGCTGGGATCAGCCTAGAGAAAAGAAGGACTCGGGGGTCACGTGATAGCAGTATTTGAGTATTTGAGGGGCTGCCCCCCAAAAAGAGGAGGTTCAACTTATCCTCCAAAGCTCCTGAAGGCAGGACCAGAAGCAACGGATGGAAACTCATCAAGGAGAGAAGCAACCTAGAACTAAGGAGAAATTTCCTAAGAGAGGACAATTTAACAGATTAACAGAGTTGGAAGGGACCTTGCAGGGCATCTAGTCCAACCCCCTGCCCAAGCAGGAGACCCTACCTACACCGTTTCTGACAAATGGCAGCCCATTTAACCAGTGGAACAGCTTGCCACCAGAAGCGGAGGGTGCTCCATCACTGGATGTTTTTAAAGAAAAGTTTGGACAGCTGTTTGTCTGGAATAGTAGAGGGTTTCCTGCCTGAGTAGGGGATTGGACTAGAAGACCTCTAAGGTCCCCTCCACCCCTAGGATTCTGTGATTCTTATCTGGTCTGCCATAATCCTTTTTCCTTCCTCTCTTAAGGCGAACCGGAGGAGCCGCCTGCAGGAGCCCCAGTGCACCCCAGACTGAAGATTGCTGAGGTGGCCTGGCTTTGACCATGGGCAGCGTCCCTCCTGGTCAGCAAAAGGACCGGCTCCCTCCGTCCCCCCCCCCCAAGGACTTTGCTTAACCAAAGGGGAGGAGTTGGGGAGGGGTCTTCCTAGGGCTAGGATCCACTTCCCACCAACTCCAGTTGCATTATTACGGTCCTCAGCTTATATGACACTCGCTTACTGACCGTTGGAAGTTACAACAGCAATAAACACAGTGACTTACGACCGGTCCTCGCACTTATGACTCCCGCAGCGTCCCCTACATCACATGGTCCAAATTTGTACACTTGGCCGCCGGCCTGGATCGACGATGGTTGCAGAGTCTCGGGGTTGTGTGAGTTCCCTTCCAAGCCTCCCCAGCTGGCTTCCCACAAGCAAAGTCAGGGGTTGCATTCACAGATTCGCTTAACAACTAGAATGATTCACTTAACAACCATGGCAAAAATGGTCCTAGGCATCTCACATAACAACCGCCTCGCTTAGCAGCAGAAATTCCAGGCCCAATCTTAGTCGTATGTCAAGGACTAAAGTAGGAGAACTGGGGGCTTGGCCGCTTCTATCATTTCATCAGAATTCGCACACAGCACCCTCAACCCAGACTTCAAAAGCGCCAAAGGCTGCACGTGGGAGAAAGGCACAGTTTGGCCAGTTCAAGCCTCGGTTGATGGGATTGGAACCCAGCTCACGGGAAGGTCACTCACTGCATGACGGACAGAAGTTGAGACTTCTGCACCTGGCCTTGGATTTCTCACCTGGGAAGGCAGAAGAGTCCTCCGTCTTCCTCCTCCTCCTCTTTCCTTCTCCTTCCCCTTCTTCTTCTTTCTGTTCTTCCTTTATCTCCTCTTTCTCCTCTTCCTTCTTCCTACTCTTTTTCCTCCTCTGGCTCCTTTTTCCTCTTCCTCCTTTTCCTTCTCCCTCTCCCACTTCCTCTACCTCCCCTTCCCTTTCCCTTCTTCCCCTTCCTCTCTTTACTTCTCCTTCCTCCTTCTTTCTGTTCTTCCTTTATCTCCTCTTTCTCCTCTTCCTTCTTCTACTCTTTTTCTCCTGGCTCCTTTTTCCTCTTCCTCCTTTTCTTCTCCCTCTCCCACTTCCTTACTCTCCCTTTCCTTCTTCCCTTCCTTCTCCTCCTTTCCTTCTCCTTCCCCACTTCTTTCTGTTCTTCCTTTTTTCCTCTTTTCCTCTTCTTTTCCTACTTTTCCTCCTGCTGCTCCTTTTTCCTCTTCCTCTTTTCCCTCTCCCACTTCTTCCTCTCCTCCTTCCTTTCCTTCTTCCCTTCCTCCTCTTTACTTCTCCTTCCCCTCCTTTTTCTGTTCTTCTTTATCTCTCTTTCTCCTCTTCCCTCTTTTTCCTCCTCCTGCTCCTTTTTCCTCTTCCTCCTTTTCCTTTTCCCTCTCCCACTTCTTCCTCTACCTCCCCTTCCCTTTCCCTTCTTCCCCTTCCTTCTCCTTTCCTTCTCCTTCCCCCTCTCCTTCTTTCTATTCTTCCTTTATCTCCTCTTCCCTCCTCCTACTCTTTTCCTCCTCCTGCTCCTTTTTCCTCTTCCTCCTTTTCCTTTTCCTTCTCCCTCTCCTTCTTTCTATTCTTCCTTTATTTCCTCTTCCCTCCTCCTCCTCCTCCTCCCTCCTTCTCTTCCTCCTTTCTTTTCTTCCTCCTCTTTCCTTCTCCCCCCCCCCCTCCGCGCGAGAACCGGGCTGAGGCTGGGCAGGGTTGCCGGGCAACGCCTTGTCCACGCGCCGCGGTTGCCGGCCGCCCCACTTGCCGCGATGGTGGGTCCGAAGCTGCCTCGCCCGGGGCGGAGCCCGCTCAAGACTCGCGGATCGCGCCGCGTGGCCACCTCCAGCGCCCTCGCCTTCGCCACCGTCTCCTTCAGGCCAGTGGGGGGAAGAGCCTCCCTTGGCCAGCGCAGGCTACCTTCGGCCCCGGGACGGCCCCTGGCGGGGGATCTCCAAGGGGAGGAAGGAAGGGGTCGCTCCTGGGCTACAAATCCCCGGCTTTCCCTGTGTCTGCTGGGGATGATGGTCCCTGTGGTGGGCAGCCGTCCTTCGGCCTCAGCTCCTCAGCGGGGCTTTAAACCTCCAGGCTCCAAGGAAAGGATCCCGCCAGGGAAGCAGCCAAGCCGGAGGGGTCCTGGAGCTTCACAGATTGCACAGCTCCTCCCCCCCAAAAAAGCTGGGAGGGACCTCCGAGGTCATCCAATCCACCCCCTGCCTTTAGAGCAATGGGCTCGATTTTATTCCCGTCAAAAGCTCTCGTCTTTAAGAAGAACGATGGGGGGGGGCTCTGGAAGCACCTTTTCCGACACCCCCCCAACTCCAGCCTGGGCATCAAAGGAGGAGGGGGGTCATTGGAAAAGGCGCCTCTAGACCCCCTCCTGATTGAGCTGGCCCCTATCTTCGCAGACTCCCCCCCCATCCTCAAAGCCCCTCAGCCTTTCACCAAAGAGAGGAGGGGGAGAGGGGGGGACCCAACAGCCTCTCTGCCTTGTGTTTTAGCAACGTGAAACCCCAGTCGTCAAGACAGGCCTCCACCAAACAGACCCAGGATTCGCACTACGCCGCCAGCACCGGACAGACCCAGTGGCTCCAGATCACCCTGCAGAAAGCGGAGACCCCCAACCAGGCGGATATTAATGTAAATCCCCACCCCCACTTTGGAAACCCTTTTCTCCTGCCAGGAAGCCTTTGCTTGGCTGGCAAGAAGCCCGGGGGGGGGGGGGTGTGGAGGGCATCTGAATTGGGGATAGAATTTTATACAGGTAGTCCTCAACTTACAACAGTTCATGTAGTGGCCATTACAACGGCGCTGAAAAAAGGGACTTGGGCGTGTTTTTCACAGTTACGACCTTGGCAGCCTCCCCATCCCAAATTCAGATGCTTGGCAGCGGGTTCACATTTATGACGGTCGCAGTGCCCTGGGGTCATGTTTGCGACCTTCTGACATGCAAAGTCAACGGGGAAGCCGGATTCACTTAACAACCGGGTGATTAATTTATTAACTGCTGTGATTCATTTAACGACTAAGGGAAAAAAAGTCGTAAAATGGGGCAAAATTAAAAAAATTCTCACTTAACAACTGAAATGTTGGGCTGCGTTGTGGTCCTAAGTCGAGGGCTACCTGTATACAGTGGTACCTCGGTACTTACTCACCGTTAATCGGTTCCAGGAGGTGCGATGAGTACCAAAAACCATGAGTACGGAAGTAAGGAATAATGTGGTTCCAACAATTTTTTAGCTTGTGGGTTGAGTACCAAACGACGAGTACCGGGACAACATTTTCACAACAAAATGCATTGAGTACAAAGTTGGATGAGTTTCAGAGCAGTTGAGTACCAAACTGTTGCTGTATTTATGCATACATTTATGGCTTCTTTTTAACGTTGTAAAGCCGCCCAGAGTTGCCTTGTGGCAAGATGGGTGGCAAAACAAATTAACATTAACAAACAAATAAAAGAACGCAAGGAAGCAAACCAGGTGTCTATGGAGATTCTCCATCATCCACGTCTCCTGGTTGTCCCAGAGGAGCTTTTTCCAAGAGGCAACTGGACCAGTTGTGGGTTGCTACTGGTTTACCCCAATTCGGGCGAATTGGTACAACCCCCCATGGGGAGGAGCCAGCCCTAGTAAGTCCCCCTTCCTCATTTTTTGCCTGCTTCCTTGGACCCTCTGAAGGGCCCGCCCTTCTGTCTGTCTGCCTGTCTGCCTGTCCATCCGTCCATGGGTTCCTCCTCCCTTCCTTTCTCTGCCAGGGCTTCTCCACGCTGCACACAGCCGCACTGCACGGGCGGCTGGACTGCATGAAGATGCTGATCGAGAAGTTCAACTTGGACATCAACATGGCCAGCCTGAGGGGCTGGAGGCCCATCCACCTGGTGCTGGGCCAGGAGAGCAAGGCCATGGCCGTGGAGTGCCTCCAGTACCTGCTCAGCAAAGGCGCAGACGTCAACGTGTAAGCTGGGTGGGGGGGAGGACATCTCTGGAGGTTTGGCAAAGGGGGGGGAGTTTGTACAGGTAGTCCCCGACTTACAACAGTTCGTTTAGTGGCCGAAGTTACAATGGCACTGAATCAGAATCAGAACAGAGCTGGAAGGGGCCGTGGAGGTCTTCTCAAAAGCATGAGACCTTCAGTTTTTCAGTCATCTAATCAACAGGAGAGCCTCTTTGGAGCTCGGGGTCAAACTGTGGGGTCCTTAGGGCTCTCTGACTTGGTAGTTTTCTTGCAGACTTTTCGTTGCCCAACTAGGTAATGTGTTCAATGTCAGGAGGAGGAGGAGGAGGAGGGCTGTGGGGTCCTTGGGGCTCTCTAAACTTGGTGATTTTCTTGCAAATGTTTCCTAACCAAACTAGGTAATGTCATCAGGGCTAGAAGGGAATGGGATTTGTGGGGGAACGGAGGAAGAGGAGGAAGAGGAAGACAACTGTGGGGTCCTTGGTACTCTCTGAGTTTGGTGGTTTTCTTGCAGGCGTTTCATGACCCAACTAGGTCTCGATCTTTGCTCAACCCTCTCCTCCCTTCAAGCACTGATGATGTTACCTAGTTGGGTCATGAAACATCTGCAAAAGAAGAAGTCAATCACCCACCCACCCACCCCCAGTAATATTATCCCTGGGCCTGGGAAGCTTTTGCAAAACTCTGGGTCTCCGGCCGCCCCTGGGATTTCGTAGCCTGAGCATGTTGGTTTGAGGCTCTTGCTTGACCCACCTCCTGTCCAGTCTCTCTCTCTCCCTGGAGGACTTTGCAACAAACTTTAGGGCTTCCCTAAAACTGCCCCTTTCTGGCTCCTCAGGCAGAATTACAACGGGGTGTCTCCACTTCACAAGGCTGCCAGCGAGGGGCGTGAAAACTGTCTCCAGGTTTTGATTGACGCCGGGGCTAACGTCCATGCCCACGACAACGAGGGACAGAAGCCCATCGATCTGTGCAAAATGTGGGGCCACAGAGCGTGTGCCAAGTGAGTCGGTCGCTTCAACGCCGGGTGGGAGGGAAACCACGGCATGCCCAGTTTGGAAGGGGCCTTGGAGGTCATCTACTCCAACCTTGGCCCCAGAGCTGGAATCCAGCACGTGACAGTTTGTCCCAAAGGTGCATTTCTCAAGAGGCAACTGGACTTTCTGGTTTTTCTTTGAAGACGTTTCACTTCTCATCCAAGAAGCTTCTTCAGCTCTGACTGGGATGGTGGGGAACGGAAGGATTGATACTCCTAAAAGAGGAGGTCCAAGAGGCCATCTGTGTCCAAATTGAGCAGCTCTCTCTCAACAGAGGGGGTGGGATACGACATCATCCATCTCCCCTCTACAACACAATTCTTTTCAGCAGTTCCAAGACCCTCTAAACCCTCAACGACCCTCTAAAACAGTGTTTCTCAACCTTGGTAGCTTGAAGATGGGTGGACTTCAACTCCCAGAATCCCCCAGCCAGCAACGCTGGCTGGGGGATTCTGGGAATTGAAGTCCACCCATCTTCAAGCTTCCAAGGTTGAGAAACACTGCTCTAAAAGGATGCAAATGACCAGCTGCCTGAAAGGAATAGAAATCCTTCCGTTCCCTACCATCCAGTAGATCTGAAGAAGCTTCTTGGATGAGAAGCGAAACGCCTTCAAAGAAAAACCAGAAAGTCCATTTAACTCTTGAAAAAAAACATCTTTGGGACGGTCATATGGCTAGGAAAGGGGTCCCTGCAAGGTAGGAGTGGACTGGGCTGGGTGATGGCTCTGCTCTGTTCCCCACCCCCCCTCTTCTAGGCGCCTCTCCCATGCCATGTGGAAGGCCAACAAGAAGCACCAGCTGCAACAGATGTGCAAACTGGAGTCCATCAAAGCCGTGTGTGAGATGAAGCAAAGGCAGTTCCTGCTGAGAGAACAGGTAGTTCTTGTTCATTTTACCTTCATAGGTAGGACGGCGTGAATTCCGGGCCTTCTGTTGGCCCTTTGCCAGCCTTTTCCCAGCCCGTTTTCGAGGCTTTTTTTGGCGTGTTTTCGGCAATATTCAGTCTATAAGACGCACAGACATTTTCACCCCCTTTTGGGAGACAAAAAAAGTATGTCCTATAGTCCCAAAAAATATGGTACTTTTTATCCCTCCTTTATTACTTTAAAGCAGTGGTGAAATCCAAATTTTTTTACTACCGGTTCTGTGGGCGTGGCTTGGTGGGCGTGGTGTGGCTTGGTGGGCGTGGCTTGGTGGGCGTGGCAGGGGAAGGATACTGCAAGATCCCCATTCCCTCCCCACTCGGGGGCCAGCCAGAGGTGGCATTTGCCGGTTCTCCGAACTACTCAAAATTTCCGCTACCGGTTCGCCAGAACCTGCTGGATTTCACCCCTGCTTTAAGGGCTGCTTAAGATGGCGAACGTACCTAATGCTCTTCTTTTTGCCCACAACCTCTCCTCTTGGGGAGGGGGCTGTTATGCCAAAGGCCAGGCACGCGGGGTCAGCGCCTCCTTTGCTTTTCTCTTCCCAGAGGGAGCTGAACATCTGCAACGTGATGGCCTTCGAAAGCTGGCTGCTGAAGAAGGGCCTGCCTCTGCCCACTCGGACCATCCTGGACCTGTCGCAGGTCCAGCGCCACTCGCTGACCCTCCGCAAGTTGGCCGGCCATATTGCCAGCCCCATCCCCTCCCTCGGCGCCCTGCTCAGGTCCTCCGACTCGATCTTCAGCATACAACGCAGGTACCGGCGTCAGAAGCCCTGGAACCTCAGCACCAACCTGGAGTCCGAACCGGCCACGTCCATCTTCCGGCCGAATGTCATCCGGTTAGGCGTAGAGCCCGAGAAGCTGCCGCAGCACGACTTCACCTCCTTCCTCTTCCTCTTCAAGGATCCTTTCGGGGATCCGGTGATCCAGATCGACAATATTGGCAGGGTCTACTCCGTGCCGGATCTGCCCTACGAGGTCCTTCACCAGAGCCTCTATCCCCGCACCTGGACGCCCCGCCTGGAGGTCCCTCGGGACCTCCGGCCGGTGCAGATTTTTAATCTGAAGCACCGGCGTCGCCCGGGGCCAGAGCACTGGTGGACCGACCAAATGGCCCTGAGCCTCCGGGTCACCCTGGATCCCATGTTCCTGAGCAGCCTGCAGAGCCACGTCTCTACCTACTGCAGCACCGAAGCTCTGAGCCCAAGAACGGCGAGCTCAAGCTCCCCGAAAGAGCCCCCCTCCGTCCAGAGCGAATCGTCCAACTCGTCCAGCCCGTAGGAGGAAGGCCTTGTGGGCCCCTTCTGCCACGCCCCAGAGAGCAAAGGGGCAGGAATGCCCCCTCCCCTCAACTGCCCCGTCTCTATATAAAGTATTTGATAGGGTTGACTCTGCCACGCTCAGAAACATTTAATGATGAATAATAATAATAATAATAAAAGCGCAGTTAGGGCAGTTCCTCTCCTGCGTCCATCGGTCTTCAATTCACAGCAGGAATTTGGGGCTCCCGAAATACAGGTAGTCCTTGATTTATGGCCGCAATCCAGCCCAAAATTTCTGTTGCTAAGCGAGACAGTTCCTAAGCGAGTCTTGCCCCGTTTCTCCATCTTTCTCGGCCCCGTGGTTAAGTGAAAGGCTGCAGTGATTCACTTAGTAACACTGTTGTTAAGTGAATCTGGCTTCCCTTGTCAAAAGGGGGCCAAGGGGGATCATGTGACCCCCCCCCCCGGATGCTGCGACTGTCATAAATCTGAGTCAGTTGCCAAGCGCCTAAATTTTGATCACCTGATCACGGGTGATGCTGCAACGGTCCCAAGTGTGAAAAACGGCCCTACGTTTGTAATTTCAAATGGTCACTAAACGAATGGACGTAAGTTTTCACCCCCGATAAAAAGGAAGCCCAATGAAACCCCTGAAGAAAAAGGGGAGAAGGGAGTCATCTCCTTGTTCTGTTGTCAACTGAACACCTTTATTGAACAGACTGTGTGCTGAGATGCCCGTCGCCTTCAGCCAAGGACATCGCGGCAGCTGGGAGCCTCTGGAGGTCCTCTAGATGAGCCAGGCAGCCTGAAAACTGCCAGGGGAGAGCCAGGGGGCCGCCCAGCCCAAGTAGCAGAGTCGACCCTCGTGGCTTCCCGCACTCCAGGCACAACCTTGCAAATTCTTTGCACGCAATCTTGGTTCCTTCCCCAACCTCGAGGTGTTGGTACAGTACAGTTCGATTTTCACTCACCCCCCACGGTTGAAGTCCCGGAAGCTTTTGGGGGTGGGGGGGGACACCGGCAGTCTTCCGGGCTAAACGCAGCTTTGCTTTTCACATACCCCCAAAAAGCTGAGCCAGGAAGTTTGGGTAGAACCATCATTCCTGGTTTCCTTTTTTAAAAAAAAAACAAGAACCAGAACCAAAAGTTTAGCCAGCCTCCCGGAGAGGAACCTCCCAACACAATGAAGGAAGAAGCATTAAGACTCTTTTTCACTCCTGGCCGGGCGGTCTGGTTCAGTTCAGCTGGTACGGAAGGCGGCGGCATCTTAAGAATGTCCACTCGGTCCTTCCTTCCTGGGTAGATCCCTCTCGAAACTTTGGAAGAAGTCCGGCAGTGGAGAGCTTGTGAAATGTTGCACCCCTTCCTACCCCAAAGAGGTGAACCGCCTGGCTTAAAAGCACGCTCAGAGTTCATCGGGGACCCCATTGAGAGGGGTGGGCGAGGGGGGGGTTCCCCATTCTCACCCCCTTCCCCAGCCACCCACAGGAAACAGGGGGATCTTGGGAGGCCCAGCTCCACACCCCCACGCCTCTGGGCTCTTTCCCGGTTTGTTCACCCCGAACGGATCTGGAGGTCAGGAAAAAAGGGGGACGCGGAGGCTCAGAACGGGCCCCCTTTTCAGGGAGGGAGGTACGCATGTGGCCAGAAGAGGTGGGGAGGGGGAACCAACAACATCCGGGGGTTGCTGGAGGGGAGGAGATCAGTACATCTTCTGTCGGCTGGGCAAGATGGCTTCCTTGATGAAGGAGAAGACGAGGAGGATGCCGGAGCGTTTCCCTCGCTTCCCTTTGGTGAAGTAGTTGGAGACCACGTCGTCTGAGGAGGCAAAGGAGAAGAGATCAGAGAGAAGGGCCTGGATAGCTCAGCAGACTAATGCATTGTAATTTAACTCCAGCTGTCTGCAATTAAAGTAAGTTCGAATCTCGCCAAGGCTCAAGGTTGACTCAGCCTTCCATCCTTTCTAAGGTAGGTAAATTGAGGACCCAGTTGTGGGGGCAATAAGCTGACTTTGTATAAAAATATACAAAAGTATGAAGGCTATTGCTGAGCACATTGTAAGCCTCCCTGAGTCTCCGGAGAAGGGCGGCATATAAATCAAATTAAAAAAAAAAAGGGGGGGGGGGGAACGGCTTCATCCCCATATTCATAATTTAGTAATTATCTCATTTCTCATATTATCAAACTTATAAGTATCTTTATATTATTATCCTCATTTGCCACTTATTTCTAACTATGGCTTTCTCGTTTCATAAAAATTATTTTCAAATATTATATTATGACATTCATTTCATATTTCATATTTCCATGTTTTATTTTTCTAGCCATTGATAAAATAAATCCCATTATCTTATAATATAATAGTAAATGATGGATATGGGGATGAAGCACCAAAGACTTGTAACTGACCGACACACGGTTTGCAATTGCAGTGGATGATGGATTTATGTTTTATGTTTTGTTTGAAAAAAAAAAGAGAGAGAGAGAGAGAGAAGGACCAGCGAGAGGGGTTCAAAACCAGCCCTTCCCCCAGGGCCCACCTGTGGAGAAAACCCTCGTCCCCCAGGCCCACTCAGCCAGAGGTGGATTCAGCCGGTTCGGGCCGGTAGTGGAGATCGCAGGTGGGCCTGCCCCCCCCCCGCCCCAGAACTATGACGTCCCTATTTAGCCACGCTTTTTAGGCCGGGTACATGCACGGAAGGTGCACAGGTGCGGAGAACCGGTGGTAGAAGTAAGTGAAACCCACCCCTGCACTCATCCCACCCACTGGCAGCTGAAGGGAGAGATAGGAACCGAGAGGGCAGGCCAGAGCCCAACGCCCATCAACGGCTAACAGAGAATATCTGTACTGAATATCAGGGCTGAACGGGGGAGCGGGCTTTGCTCCTTCTTTCTCTACAGGTGGCCCTCGTCTTACAGCCCCAAATTGAGGCCAAAATTGTGGCTTCCAAGTGGAGCTTTTGCTCCGGTCTGACAAATGTCCTTGGCTTAACATTTGTTAAGCAAATCACTTTGGTCGTTAAGCAAATAACAGGGTTGTTAAGCGAATCTGGCTTCCCTCTGATGATTCTGCTTGTCAGGTGATCAGGTGACCTCAGGACACTGCGACTGTCGTAAATTCAAGTCAGTTGTCAAGCCTCAGAGTGTAAACCACGTGACCACGGGGATGGCGCATCGGTCGTTAAGTGTGACAACTGGTCGTAAGTCACTTTTTTTCAGTGGTGGTGTAATTTCAAAGAGTCACTAAGTGAAGTGTTGTAAGTCCAGGACCGCTTGGCGCTTGGGGCTGGACGGGGCAGTGGGCTTTGCTCTTTCTTTACATACAAGCTTGTCCTGTCAAATATGGGTGGGATGTCCTTGGGGGAGGGGTGCTTGCTTGGCTCCTCCCTGCGTTGTGATAAAAGCTCCTTGAGTTTCATAGCTGCAAAACAGACTTCACCATAGTTCCCCATAGTTTCAACTGGGAAACGGTGGCCAAGTCCAAAACCAGCAGGGAATTCCTGGAAGCCATCCACAGGCACGTGGAGGTAAACAATATTTACACACCATTCCAACGAGAGAAGCCAAAAGCCAAAAAGGAAACAAAAAGACCAAAACGCCAGCAATCAATACCCAGCTACGCAGAGATTAATACTGGACTGACAATCAACAAGCAAACAATGCCCCAGTCAAGGAACGACTAACTACAATCTCCTGAGCAGGGGGTTGGACTAGAAGACCTCCAAGGTCCCTTCCAACTGTGTTGTTATTCTATTCTATTCTATTCAGTCAAACAGTAAACCACCACCTAATTGAGAACTTCCAGGAACATTCCCAACAATGTTGTCTATAAACGGAGAGCAAATCCTCCCTCCTTCTAACCCTGATGATGTCCCGTTGTTGGGTAATGAAACGTCTCAAGAGAGCAGCACTAAAGATCCACGAGTCCTCTCCACAAAATCCCTCTCCCTTCCAACACTGATGAGGTGACGTAGTTGGGTCATGAGACGTTTGCAAGGAAACAACCCAGCTCAGAGAGCACCAAGGACCCCACCTCAACAATTCCTCGATGCCAGCCATCCAGGCCCAGAGCCTCTCTCCTCATCTCCCCCCTCCTCTTTATTGAGAGACCCAGCACGAACTGACCAATAGGTAAAGTTGCTGCAGATTTTGTGTTGTGTGTCAATTCCCGGTGGGGGTCGTCTTGTGCCCCTCCTTTCCTGGGCACAAGGGGGTTGTGGGGGGGAGGGGTCTGGCTAGAGAACTGACCTCCAGGCTGCACGGTGGAAGGCAGGACGTTTTCGCCAGCCGACAAGGAGACGAAGAAGGCGAACGGGATGAGCCAGAGGCAGAAGGTGAAATAGGCCAGGACCTGGAAGGGGGGAGGATGGGGGGCAGGAGAGAAAGAGCATCAGAGAAGCCGCGGTGTCGTCCCCCCCCCCCCCCCGAAGCCATCCCAGGAACCCCCCAGATGCCGTCCCAGGGTGCCCCCTGCAGGGTCTCGTGGCTTTAAAGTCGCCCCCCCCCTCTCCGGACCCCTCTTACCTCTGAGAAGGGATAATATTCTTCTGCAAAGTACTGAAAGGCCAGGTAGTGGTTCAGCACAACCAGCACTGCCAAAATGGGGAGGGGGGAAAAGAGAGAAGGGGCTCACCAATTTGGAGGGGCTTCATTCAGCAAGATCCCCCTGAGAACCCAAACCCCACGGGGAGGGAACCATGCCACAGAGATAGCGGTCAGCGATGGCAGAAACTCAGCAGCTCCCAAACGCTTATAACCCTCATAATAAAGTTTGTTTGTGGGAAAAGGGGCTTCCAGAGTCCTCCTGATTTTCAGATTTCAAGGGGTCCCTGCTCTCTCGCTCTCTCTCTCTCTCTCTTTTTAAAGTGTGTACCTAGGCCTCATTGCAACAAAACGTTTGGCCACTTTAAGACTCCTGGACACCAACTCCCAGGATGCAATTTCGGTCCTATCCACCTTCTCGTCCTTCCCTGTTAATCCCGCGTCTTGGACAAAGCCCAGAAACATTACAAAACATTGCCAGTGGTGTAAGATTATAAAATCTCTGAAACAGGATTGAGAAAGAGCATCACTCGGAGCCGAGAGAGCGAGAAAGTCTCCTGATTCCAGTCCGGCTGAGATTTACAGAACGAAGGGAGATTAAGGGAGGTTCATAGCACCAGCCCTTAGAACCACTGCCTTAAGACACTCATAGGCCGCTTCCCAGCCCTCTCTAAGCGGTCTACGGAGTCAGCGTATTGCCCTCAACAATCTGGGTCCTCATTTTACCGACCTTGGAAGGACGGAAGGCTGAGTCAACCTTCAGCCGGTCAGGATCGAACTCCTGGCAGTGGGCAGTTAGCCAGCCCTGCAGTACTGCATTCTAAGCATTGTGCCACCATGGCTCTTATGAGAGAGAGGTAGATAGGTAGGCAGAGAAAGAGAGAGATGATATAGATAGATAGATAGATAGATAGATAGATAGATAGATAGATAGATA